CCTAACCCTAAACCCTAAACCCTAAACCCTAAACCCTAAACCCTAAACCCTAAACCCTAAACCCTAAACCCTAAACCCTAAACCCTAAACCCTAAACCCTTCCGCACCGAGGAAGTCGACAGCAGTAGCAGCAGAGGCGTAGGAGGGGTCAAGAGGGGAGGGGGAGCACCCCTCAAAGAGGGGAGTGCGGGGAGTGCCACGAGCAGCACCGACAGCGAGGATGTTCTTCTCTGCTGCGACCAGCTGCTGCTCGAAGTCGTCCAGAGTGATAGCGGTAGGATCCTTGGCAAGGAAGTGATCCCTGACAGAACGAAGAGTGTCAGGGAGGCGGGTGACGAGGATGTAGAGGGTAAAGTACAGCGGGGGGGTGTTCGTGGCGAGGAACTCGTCAGTGAGAGCGGCTCGAAAGCGGGCGTCACTAGCGCGGAGGTGAGTGATAAGGTCGGCAGCAGTGTGAAACGAGGCTAAGTCTGGGAACAGGTAAGGCAGGATGAGACTACCAACGGTGGCTGTGGCCGGGGCGGAATAGCGGGCAACGACAGCATCATACAGCGTCTTAGCAGTCTTAAGCTGGTTGAAATGCGCGCGCTCAGAGATCGGTAGGTGATTGCGAATAACAAGGCGCGCGACTGCATCGCGGAGCTCCCACTGTGCTCGTTCAGGGGCAGGAGCAGTCTCAGCGGGAGTAGGGACAGTGCCGGTCACATAGGCTAGCAGTGATACTCCGTCTGCGACGTCAGTCATAAGGTAAAGGCGCAGATCGCTAAGCCAGGTGTCAAACTCGATGGGGCGGCCGTCAGGCTCAAAGGCGAGAACAGTAAGGGTCGCCATGGTTGCAGCGCAGGCAAAAGTAGCAGGTGCAGGCAGCAGGCTCAGGCAGCAGGCAAGCGCACTCCAGGCAGGCAAGCGCAAGGCAGGCAGGCGCACTCCAGGCAGGCAAGCGCAAGGCAGGCAGGCGCACTCCAGGAAAGGCAAGCGCGTAAGGCAGGCAAGCGCACTCCAGGCAGGTAAGCGCAAAGCAGGCAGGCGCACTCTAGGCAGGCAAGCGCGTAAGGCAGGCAAGCGCACGACTCACGGGCGGCTAAGCGCTCAGGTCGAGGCAGTGGCGCACAGGCAGGGCAGGGCACGCGCGGCTGCGGGCTGCGCGCGGCTGCGGGCTGCGCGCGGCAGCGGGCTGCGCGCGGCTGCGGGCTGCGCGTGGCAGCTGGCTGCGCGCGGCGACGGGCTGCGCGCGGCTGCGGGCTGCGCGCGGCGACGGGCTGCGCGCGGCTGCGGGCTGCGCGCGGCGACGGGCTGCGCGTGGCTGCGGGCTGCGCGCGGCGACGGGCTGCGCGCGACAGCAGCGAGCACGCGGGCGGCTAAGGCAGCGGGGCGCGCTAAAAAAAAATTGCACGCGCGCATGCAGCCGAGGCGCGCGCGGGCAGCAGGCAAGGTAGGCACGTAGGTATAGCTGTAGGGAAAGTAACTCATGAGTAGGTGGGCCCCAATCTTAGGTCCTTAGGACCATTGCTCTAGATGCCATGTTGAGATAGCTAGGCAAGGTGAGGTTCACTATCGAGAGAAATTTTACAAGTAGGAAAACCCTAAGGGGTTATACCCCACAGAATCTACCCCACTACAGCCTACCAGTAATATAACCCATATAAATATGTTTGACAGTTTGCTCACCAAAGCCTTGTTTGTCCTCCTCTATTTTGCCGTCCGTTTGCTGATTCATGTTTCTTCATGCTTTGTGATTGCAGAAATAATTTATAGGCGGATGGAAGCACAACGTACAACTCGTTTAAGTGCAACTTGGTTGATGTTTTTTTACTCTTAAATATATATGGTTGCTTGTATTGTTTGCTACTCCGACGTTGTTTGTGGTGCTGCTCTCGTTGGTGTAGTAATGCATGTCTGCACATATCAATGAGGAGTCTTGCCGTCCATTGTCACATAAGGCTGAGTGGTGTACCACTAGCAAAGTGAAGCCATTTTCAGCTGGACTTGGTCGGTGTAGACTTCTCATTGGAATATGCAGACTGTATTGCTCTTCTATTGTTGTCGATTCAACTTTTATATTATCGACTTCCCCCCCATGCTAGGTTGGGGAAGCTGTAGTATAAATTCTAAATCGCTAGTTGTGACGCAAAATATGGTACAAGGTTTTTTTTTTCTCTCCATTGAAACATATTCACCTATCTACTTGGTGAATCTGTTTCTACCGCATAGTTTGGGCATTTTTTTTTTTAAATGCAATTATCGTTTAGTTTTGATCATTGTATTTTTCCTGTGATATTTTTTCTCTGTTTTTGTAGTTCATTTGGAAGTGATATTCAAAACTTGGAAGTTCCGTAACTTAAACGTCCCTAAGTTCTGCGTTACAATAGGGTAACGTACGCATCGATGCCTCAATTAGGAATGGTGTACCTTGTAAGCCATCAAAATTACTATTAATGTAAAATTCTGCACTTACAATCATTTTTAGTATGAATAATTTCTCATTCCTAAGAAAAACAAGTTCGGTATAGCATATATTATCAGACTTATCCGGATTTGTCTTCATGTATTTTACATTTTTTTTCCTAGGAATTCAAAAATTAGCGAAAAAAGAAAACAATTTCAATCGATTGCAATAGGTTGCTCCGCAACCCAAAAAAATCTGAGGATTTCCATAAACATCTATTTACCATGCGGTATAACAATTTGATCATGGCAGCAAGCAAGCAAAGAATGGAGATTGCCTTTGGTGTTTCCTTCTTGTGCCTGAAATGAATAAGCTCCTGTGGAGCACGAATCGTCACGAGCAGCTGTCCGTTCCATTCATATCTTGCCGGAGGCTAGCTTTGCTTCAATCTCCTCCAGCTGGAGCCCTTTGGTCTCGGGCACCCACAGGTAGATGAAGAGGAGGGCTCCAGCACCGATGGTGGCGAACGAGTAAAACGTGCCTGCTTGCCCCAACGCACCCTGCACATGGAGGAACGGGACAGAGAGCACTGATGAAACGGGACAGAAGCCATGTGCTGCGCTCACATGCTAGCAACTGGTCCCGTGAAAGGATACTAATGTGCTAGTGCTGGCCCCATCACACTTGTGTGCCAGTGCATCACACCTGAATGGGCGGCAGGGCGAAGGTGACGAGGGCATTGGAGGCGAAGTTGAGGAGCGTGGCGATGCTCTGCGCTCGGCCCCGCACCGGCAGAGGAAACACCTCCGAGACCATGAGCCATGCTATGGGGCCAAACGACACCTGCTCTGCCACCCACGCACACAGGCATACGCACGTGCAGGCAAGCAGGCACACAGCCATGCAGGCACGCCGACACACACGGATGCAGGCACATAGGCATGCGGGCAAGGGGCAGGTGGGCACAGAGGCAGGCGGGCACAGACGACATGCAGGGGATGATGAGGTGGAGAAAGCAAGAAAATGGTCGTGCGGTGGCAGCAGAGGGGTGGTGCCATCACATGGCTAGCAGAAGAGGGGTGGTGCCATCACATGGCTAGCAGAAGAGGGGTGGTGCCATCACATGGCTAGCAGCAGAGGGGTGGTGCCATCACATGGCTAGCAGAAGAGGGGTGGTGCCATCACATGGCTAGCAGAAGAGGGGTGGTGCCATCACATGGCTAGCAGAAGAGGGGTGGTGCCATCACATGGCTAGCAGAAGAGGGGTGGTGCCATCACATGGCTAGCAGAAGAGGGGTGGTGCCATCACATGGCTAGCAGAAGAGGGGTGGTGCCATCACATGGCTAGCAGAAGAGGGGTGGTGCCATCACATGGCTAGCAGAAGAGGGGTGGTGCCATCACATGGCTAGCAGAAGAGGGGTGGTGCCATCACATGGCTAGCAGAAGAGGGGTGGTGCCATCACATGGCTAGCAGAAGAGGGGTGGTGCCATCACATGGCTAGCAGAAGAGGGGTGGTGCCATCACATGGCTAGCAGAAGAGGGAGGTGACATGACCTAGCAGGGAGGTGACGTGACCTGGTAGCAGCCGACGAAGAGCAGCAGCGCGAGCACACTGAGGGCGGGCACGCCGCTGACGCTGCCGTACGTCCACCCCAGCAGCACCAGGCTCGCCACCTGCACCCGCTCTCATGCGCGCTTGCACGGGACAGCATGGGGCGGCATAATGAGGTTCAAATGAGGTAGAGGTAGTGGGAGCAACAACGGAGAAGAAAACGCTAGGGAACTGGAAATTTCACTCCCGTCCCATACTGCCGGCCACCAGCCCTGCCACCCACCAGCCTTGCCACCCACCAACCCTGCCACCCACCAACCCTGCCGCCCACCAACCCTGCCGCCCACCAACCCTGCCGCCCACCAACCCTGCCGCCCACCAACCCTGCCGCCCACCAACCCTGCCGCCCACCAACCCTGCCGCCCACAACCCTGCCGCCCACCAACCCTGCCGCCCACCAACCCTGCCGCCCACCAACCCTGCCGCCCACCAACCCTGCCGCCCACCAACCCTGCCGCCCACCAACCCTGCCGCCCACCAACCCTGCCGCCCACCAACCCTGCCGCCCAGCAGCCCTGCCGCCCACCAGCCCTGCCACCCACAACCCCTGCCACGAGCCCTGCCGCCCACGAGCCCTGGCACCCACGAGCCCTGGCACCCACGAGCCCTGGCACCCACGAGGCCGGAGACGCCAGCGAGCAGCAGAGGGCGGCGGCCCCAGCGGTCCACAGTGGCGATGGCCACGCCCGTCATGCCCAGCTGCCCCATGGGGGGGACAGGGGGGAGGGGGGGGGGAGGAGGGAGCAACGAGCGTGCGGGCGTGAGGGGTGGGAGGCGGAAGGAGGTGGGGGGCATGGAGGCAGGAAAGCATGGCAGGTAGGGAGACGAAGGCAACGGCAAGCGAGCAAGTGTTGGTCATGGCAGGCGCCTTTCCCAACCATGCATGGGCCTAAACATGCACGCAGCAGCAGCAGCACGCACCTTGAAGAGGCCCAGCAGCACGGACACTCGAGTGGCGTCACTGGCAGCTGAGAAGCCCGCGTCCTGCCACGCAAGGCCAAGTGAGGCGAGGCAAAGTGATGCAAGGCAAGGAAGGGGGAGGCGGGGCAGGGGGGGGGAGGGGGGGATGAGAAGCATGGGGTTACCCCGCAAGAGAGAATGGGCAGTAGATGCATGCATGGGGTGGGGGAGGACATGAGGACAAGCGACAGGGCAGTAGCAGGAAGAAAAAAAGCCCTGGAGGATGGAGGCACCTGAAGGATGGAGCCGGCATAGTAGAGCACGCTGGGCTGCCCTGTCACCTGCGGGGGTCAGGCAGGCCAAAGGGGGAGAGGCAAAGAGCAGACGAGCATAAGAGTTGGGGAAGGGGAACGGCGAGGCGGGGAAGAGGGAGGAGGGAGGAGGGGGGCAGCATGAGGCTACGGGTGAGAAGCTGTGCCATGTTTCTCCCAGAAATGGGTGCTTCATCTCATCAGTCCGTGCCATCACCATCACGAGCATGCAAAACCTTCATACGGCAACTGCTGGAAAAAGACAAGCCCACCTGCTGGAAAAAGACAAGCCCACAGGCAATCACCAGAGCACGCCCGCTCGCCCCTGCTACCAGCTCACCCCACCCACTTGCACCCCCCTTGCCCCCCCCCTCCCCCATGGCCTCCACCATGCCCTGCACCTCCCTCCGCGCCTCCCCCTCCCCACACGCGCCCCCCCTCAGCCGCCTCACCGCCTCCACCGCCCGCCTGCGCGCCTCCTCGCTCCTTTCCCCCACCCGCCCGTCCTGCCCATCCTGCCCCTCTTGCCCTTGCGTCTGCGGGTGCTGCTCCTGCTGCGCGCGCAGCAGCAGCCAGCGGGGGGAGGGCGGCAGCCACGCCATGCCTGCCCCCATCACGAGCGCCAGCGGCGCTGCCACCCCGTAGATGCCCCGCCACGCGCCCTCCGTGCCCACCAGCACACTGCCACTCACGTACCCCAGCTGGCCTTGGCAGTTGCCATGCACCGTGACACACGACCCCCGGCAGCGAGCAAGTGCAGGGCAGAGGGCAGCGGGGAGAGCAGAGAGGGGGACAAACACCGTGAGGGCAATGCACCAGAATGGGAAGTGAGGCGCAGCAGAGTGGGAGGGCAGTGAGGCGCAGCAGAGTGGGAGGGAAGTGAGGCGCAGCAGAGTGGGAGGGAAGTGAGGCGCAGCAGAGTGGGAGGGAAGTGAGGCGCAGCAGAGTGGGAGGGAAGTGAGGCGCAGCAGAGTGGGAGGGAAGTGAGGCGCAGCAGAGTGGGAGGCGAGGCGCAGCAGAGTGGGAGGCGGGGCGCAGCAGAGTGGGAGGCGAGGCGGGGCTCACGAGGATGCCGGCGACAATGAAGGCCTCCTTGAGTGAGATGAGCGTGCCCCGTATGGCCGGTGGACTGGTCTCCGCTATGTACATGGGCGCCGCATGCATGGCCTGGGGGGAGGGGCACACGTGGGTGGGTATGCATGCACACATGCACATAGGCAGACACACATGCGCGCACACACTCAGTCAATCTCACACACACACACACACACACACACACACACACACACACACACACAGGTCCGCAAACATGGTGCGGCAAGAGTGGTGGGCAGCAGACGAGCAGCGAGAGGGAGCCAAGCAGCTGGCGAAGGGAAAAGGGAAGGGGCGAGAGGGAGAAAGGCATGGGACAAGTGACAGAAAGGCAGCACGCGTCGCAGGGCAGAGCGGGGCGGGCCAGGGCAGAGCAAGGCAGGGCAGGGTGAGGCACTGACAAGGCCGATGGCGGAGCCGTAGACGAGACGACCAGCGAGCAGTGCAGGCAGGGAAGGGGCGGAGGCTGTGAGCAGCGCCCCTAAGAAGAAGAGCCCCGCCGCCAGCAGCAGCTCCCTCCTCCGCCCTGCACATGGGTGGCACGGGGTGGCGGTGGGGGGGGGGGGGAGGGGGAGGGGGAGGGGGATAGGGAGCGGCAGCAGCAGGAGGATGATCAAGAAAAGGGGTGTGGGACGAGATGAGAACGAGGGAGGGAGTGGGACCTCGAAGACAGCAGGAAGAGAAGAGGTGCGCGTGAGGGGGGTGCAGCACGGACAGGGGGTGTGAGGCGTAGAAGGAAGGAGGTGAGGGGAGGGGCTGGTGGGGTTGTGGTTACCGAGAGGGGCTGGTGGGGTTGTGGTTACCGAGAGGGTCAGCAATGCGGAAGGCGAGCAGGCAGCCCAGCAGCGCTCCTCCCAGCGACCCGCTCACCTGGCGGGCGTGGAAAGGTGTGAGGGGCAGGTGAGGGGCGTAAAGGGGCGTGGCGGGGGGTGGAGGGGCGGGCCACACCATGAATGGAAGCAGAGAGCGCAGCAAGAGCAAGAGCAAGAGCAAGAGCATGAGCAAGAGCAAGAGCAAGAGCATGAGCAAGAGCAAGAGCAAGAGCAAGAGCAAGAGCAAGAGCAAGAGCAAGAGCAAGAGCAAGAGCATGAGCAAGAGCAAGAGCAAGAGCAAGAGCAAGAGCAAGAGCATGAGCAAGAGCATGAGCAAGAGCAAGAGCAAGAGCAAGAGCAAGAGCAAGAGCATGAGCAAGAGCAAGAGCAAGAGCAAGAGCATGAGCAAGAGCAAGAGCATGAGCAAGAGCAAGAGCAAGAGCAAGAGCAAGAGCAAGAGCAAGAGCATGACCAGGAGTGGCTTGACTTGCCAGTCACCAACACAGCATGGAGTGCAGCAGATGTGCCGAGGCGTGGCGGCATGGCAGGGCGCGGGGCGAGCAAGCAGTGAGCCATGATTGAGTGAGACATTGTTTGGGTCAGTGAGTGAGCGAGTGAGTGAGCGAGTGAGTGAGAGAGGGCACGCACCACGAGGCCGACAGCAGTGGAGGAGAGGTCAAACCAGTCCGTGCCTGACAGCACCGGGTCCTGCCTCCCACCCACCGCCACCCCATGCCACGCAGCAAAGGCAGGGCACACGGTAAAGGAAAGGAGGTGAGGGGGGCGGACGGTGGAGGGCGAGGGGCATGGGGGAAGAGAGAGGGGCAAGAGGCCAGGGGATCAGTCGAGAATGAGCAGGCGGGAGACAGGAGGATGCGGATGTGCGCCACTGCGTTGTGTGCATCTCCTCTCACCGCCTGCGCTGCACTGCACGACCCACACGCTACCACACACACCCACGCGCACCTTGAGCGAGAGCAGCGCGCACCTTGAGCGAGAGCGGCGCGCACCTTGAGCGAGAGCAGCGCGCACCTTGAGCGAGAGCAGCGCGCACCTTGAGCGAGAGCAGCGCGCACCTTGAGCGAGAGCAGCGCGCACCTTGAGCGAGAGCAGCGCGCACCTTGAGCGAGAGCAGCGCGCACCTTGAGCGAGAGCAGCGCGCACCTTGAGCGAGAGCAGCGCACTGGAGGTGGCGCCGATGTCGTAGCCGAAGAGCACCCCGCCCAGCGCCGGGAAGAGGAAACTGCTCACACGGGGGGAGAGGGGGGGGGAGTGAGGGAGGGAGGGAGGGAGGGAGGAACACGGTGGCACGGTGTTGATTGATGGAAAGGTGGAAGGGGGAGCACGGCGAAGGGCAGGGCTAGCAGAATAGTAAGGACTTGTGATGGCTGCAGGGGTTACAGGCGACTCACGGCAGGGCGGCAGCAGTCCAGACGGCATTGCTGGTGGGCGGGGTGCTCTCTGCTGCTGCAGGCGGCGGGCTGGCCCCCCCATTGGCTGCCAGCAGCGGTGACGTCAGCTGGGATGGAACCGACGTGGCGGGAAACGCGTCTTCTACGCCCTGCAGGGGATGGGGTCGAATGGAGATGGGGTCGCATGGAGATGGGGTCGCATGGAGATGGGGTCGCATGGGGATGGGGTCGCATGGAGATAAGGTCGCATGGGGATGGGGCCGCATGGAGAAAGGACAGTTTGACATGGCGTGCACGGCGGAGACATGTGGGGTGTGGGAGAGTATGAAATCTGCATAACGTGGCGACGACGAGTGCGGTATGCGAGACCACGGTCAATGGCGCCGACGGAGGCAGCGTGCGGGGGGAGGGGGAGCGTAGGGGGGGTGGACAGCTTTCTCGGTTGACTGCGCACACGTCGATGGACGGCAATCCGACGGCACAGGGCGCGCGAGGACAAGGGGCGCCGCGTGGCGCGAGCTAATACGATTCAGTGCGACGCCTACGCACTCTGGCGGAGCGGCCGTCCTCGATGCCGCGCGCTCTGAAATCCGCTGCCGACGCGCGCGGCATTACTCGCTGGCGTTGAGACGCGCGGCGGGAGTGACAGCTTAAATGCGACGCGACGAACGGACGCGGACGAAATGACACGTCAGACGATCGCAGTGGGCTACTGAGATGGCGCGAGGCGGAGACGGCAGAGAGAAATCGCTGCGTGCTGTAGGCGGTGGCCATGGCTGGAGTGGAGCTTACGGTTACGAGCCAGGCTCGCACCGCATTCCACGCGACTTGGCTGCCTACGGCGTGAACAAGTGGCGCGCTGGCGCTGGCACTGCCTTGGGTTGGGTAGGAACAGAGCCTCGTCAGCCGATGGTTGCGAATTTCTACACCGAAGTGAACAGAAATACGTATTTGTGATGTCTTCGTTAGTGTGGAACCCGGTTGTCCAAATAATATTCAATGCTGAAGCATTGTTTGTAGGGTGTGCAAACAAAAATTTGCAGGAGATGCACTCGGAAAGTGGTTTGTAATCCCTAAGGTTCATTTCTTGGCGGGAACGCCTCTGACTGGTTCGAGGCCATTCTGACCATCTTCTCGCATCACCCCCCCTAGTCTGCTCTGCCTCACACCACTTGAATTCATCATTTCTGAAGCAGCTTCAGTTTCTAGGCTCCTAGTCCCAGGCTCGATCAACGCTCGTCCTTTTCCCCGCGGTCATGGCGATAGGACGGCGCGTGTAACGTACCGCTTTGCCGTTGTTAGCCCGCCGGAGAAAGAAGTTTCGGGTTGTAGCGCGACGAGCGGCGAGCAGGGCGGGACGCGAGGGCGCGCGGATGGCGTCGGGGGAGGGCGACGAGGTGGCGGGCGGGCGCGCGTGCTACTTTCATCGCGACCTCAAGCGCGGCAGCTACGGCGGTGACGTCAGCTGCCTGCAGGAATACCTGCGCTCCGAGGTGCGCCCTGCCGCCCTTACAGCCAATACAGCCAACACAGCCCGTAGAGACCATATAGATTATAGGTACCATGCAGACCATGCGGACCATATGGCACGGAGGTGCGCGCATAGAACAGCGTTTGGTTGTCGCGGCGAATCGGTTTCGTGCACGCGCTGATGCACCGCGTCGCGTCCTACTCGTATCCTACTCGCTTGTTTTCAGAGCCTGCACCAGGCCGCGTCGCTAAGTGCGTGTGGTCGTGTCCGACGTGGCAGGGATTCCTCTACGAGGAGCCGTCGGGGTACTTCGGCACGGCAACGGAGGAGGCCGTCATCAAGTGGCAGGTATGACGTCATGAACGGCAAGTATGAGGTCATCAAACGGTGCGCAGCAGTCCGTTTATCGCCAGGTCCGCACATACTGCTGGCTGTCTAGTTCCCTCAGACCCAGCGCTACAATTCTTCCCGCTTCTCCTGCATTAGCTCTTGTCTCTTGTCTCCGCCTCTGCCCTTTCCCCCCAACAGACGAGCAACGCGCTGGTGCCGGCGCGCGGCATCGTGGGGTACTCGTCGCGCGTGGCGTACGCGCGGAAGCACGGGCTGCCCACCACGGAGCAGCTGCGCGCCATGGAGAAGGCCGCCGAGGTGCGCGCGCCCGCCACTCACGCGCTGCTGTGCCATGCCTTGCCGTGCCGTGTGGTGGCATGCTGTTCCATGCCATGTTGCCCCATGCCGTGCGTCTGTGATCCATGATGCATATCTGTCCACTTTGGCTCGTGAAATCATTACCCCACAACCATGCACTGTCCTCTTTCCATTCGCCGCAATGCTCTCCACTTTGCCAGTGCTCACTGCAGCTCCCTCCCCTTCGTGTCCTCATGCTTGTGGCAACCTGTGTCCGCTATGCCCCATCGTGTCCGGCTCTATGCCGCCGGCCCGTTGCCCATTGCCCGTTGCCCGTTGCTGTGCGGGTGGAGCAGGGATGTGAGGTGCGGCGGTGCATAGAGATCGACGCGCACAAGCGGAACGGCATGGAGCTCTGGGAGCGATGCCTAGCGTGCGTCCCTTACTCACCTCCCCTCCCCTTGCTCTCTCGTCCCCCCTCGCGCCCCCTCCCTGCCTCCCCCCTCCTCTCGCTTTTCCCCTCTCCGCTGCTCCACATGTCCATCTGCGCCCCACCCCTTGCCCCCCACGCCTGCTCTACTGCTCGCCTGCGCGCCTGCACCTGCGCTGCACGCTTCGCACTGTGCCGCTCGCGCTGCCTGCTGCTGTGCGCTCTGCTCTGCTTCAGGCGGACAAGAAGGCGGAGGTGATAGAGTTCTGTTGTGAGCTGGTGGGAAACCAGGAGATTTTCCGCACCAAGCGGTGCAAGTGCGTACCGCACTCCCACGCTCACCTCTCTATCACTGCCTTCGTTTCACATGTGCTTTGCTGCTCACTTTCTGCCGCTTGCTGTGTGTGTCTCGTCTTGCTTATTCATCATGTATGCGTTCAGCCTGAAGTGGGAATCTCACATGTGTGACTTCCTTCATCCTCACCTTGCCCTGCTTGTTGCTGTGCCTGTTCCGCTGCTGGCAGGGAGGACGCATCCCTGGCTGATCGCATGCACCTCTGCAGCGAGGCGTGCCAAATGGCAGTCAGTGAGGCGTGTGACAAGGTGAGCTTTTGGTGCTGCTGCCGTTTGCTTCAAATGGTGTGTTGTTTGTGATATGTTTTGCAATATTATCAGGTTGCCCCATAAATTTTTGCCTTGTGACCCTGCTTTGGTTATCTTTTCTTCCAGGCCTTTCCAACGAGCCAAAACAGCGACTACAAGAAGTGCCTCAGCCTGATTCCAAGAAATTGCCTCGACGCATGTCGCAACATTCTTAAATCAAAAGACAAATGACAACACCTAACTACCTTCACTAGGTCTAGTTTAACCCATTGCGTAGCAGTCTATTTTAGCTTAATTTTTTTTTTGCCTCGATAATGATTACCGTATTTCACGTTTTAGGTATACATATAGTAAGAGATTGTTTTACGAACCCCTGGTTGCCAGACACGTCGTGACCTTTCGACATCGTAACAGAACGAAACCGAGCGAAGACCGCCATGCGAATCGGGTCTTTCGGTGGAGGGAGATATTTCCCTCCCCAGAATCCAGGAGCTCGCGGCTGATGGCGTAACAGACCGTGCCATCTGTCCGCTGCACTTTCCACGTCGAGCTGATGCCAAATGGCAGCCCATATCCCTGCATCAACGGCTTGGTTTGCCGCTCTGACGACCGTCGTTGAGTCTTCGTCGACTTGTCGCAAACTAGCGATCTGTCGCTAACCGACCTTCGTTCTGCCAGCCCTTTCTCCTTCGTCCACCTTATGCCTCCTTGCAAGGCAACCTTCATCTCAGCCCTGCCTTCACTCAGCTTTACCACAGACAACGCACTCTTCCGCTCCAGAAATCAATTCCCTGAGCTCCGCCAGCATCCAGCACTTGCATTGTTTCACTGGCTTGTGCTCTGGCGTCTCAGATCACCGTCCGGAACAGTATTAGGTTAAGCATTAGGTGTTCTCTTTGGTGAAACAGAGAATAATACAAGACACTCTTTACAAGTTTAGGTTGCTGTTGAAGTCGTCGTTGCCATGGCATCAGCGTCGTGTCACACGTCATTAACAGCAAATGGCGTTCGATACGCCACTGGCGGCGCAGTAAAGCTCTCGCAATCAAGGCGGTGCGCGTTTTCCGGCGCCAGGCGTATCGACGGCGGGCTCTTGCGCCGTCGAGATCACCTCAGCCGCCGCGTAGTCGCCGTTCGAGCGTCTGTCGAGATGACCGAAGCGGAGAAAGAGGGCTGGCGGAAACGGCGGGTAGGCATCGCTTACTCAAGAATTTGTGCATACGTGTAGCCATCTCATCTGTCTGAAAAGTTTTCCGATTGTCGTCATTCTACTGCTTACAACTTCTTCCACTTCCATGGAAGCTGTCGCTTCAGTGAACCAGAACGATTAATACCTTGTGCCGTTTTGGCGGCGGTTATCCGTCGCATACGGAACCCCGCGTGCGTTAATCGCTAGTTCACGTCGTTGTTCGTCCGGGTACTCCCGGCCGTGTCGTGCTCTGATGCCATCAGAGCGAGGCAGCGGAGGAGGCGGCGCAGAAGGCGGAGAAAGAGACGGAGGCGGCGGAGGCGGGCGCGGTGGACGAGTGGCGGTGGACGCTCAACTGGAACCACATCCTGCCCAACCTCATCGTCGGCTCCTGCCCGCGCTCGCCGGACGACGTTGTCAGTCCCTGTCCCTGCTACGCCTCTTCTCACCGCCCGACTGCTCCTTGCTACCGTGCCTGCTCGCGTGACTGTCGCATCTGCCGCTCTGCTCGCCGTTTCTGCTTGCAGCCACCGTACCCCACGGCACCAGGCAGCGGTATCTTTGTGCATCTCCGCTCCAGCATGCGCTTGTCCCGCTCGCCCTCTTTGTCCTTCCGTCTCCGCGTGTCTCCGCGTGCCTCCGTGTGCGCCGCGCTCATCCCTCCGTGTGTCCCTCCGCGTGCATCCGTTGTCCCGCTCATCTCTCAACGGGCGGCAGGATCGCATAGCGGACGAGGCGGGGGCGACGGCGATCCTGAACCTGCAGTCCGACCTCTGCTTCGACGCGCTGCAGGTGCGTGGCACACCCGCACACAGGTGCGTGCCCCACCCCCACACACTTACTGCCAACCCCCCGCGAGCCAGTACGAGGTGATGCATTCAATGGAGCACCACACGCGGAGACGATAGGGAACATACGCTTTCAAAGGAATTCAGACGAAATTAATGCAAATGAGGAAGCACGAAATAGCTTTCCTTGGCTTCTAGACGCAACCGGAAACCGAGATTCGCGTCCTCAACCAACCTGCGAAGTTGCAATCGCTGTTCTCCTCTTCACTATGGCTCGTGGGGTGCTTCCCCCACTCACTCTTGTCCTGGCCGTTCTGCGTGCTGTGCTGTGTGTGCTGTGGTATGTGTGCTGCGTGGGCTGTGCTGTGTTGTGGTGCGGTGCGGTGCTGCTGGGTGATGCTGCTTGGTGCGCGGTGGCCCTGGGCGCATCAGATTCCGTTTGAGAGCATTCGGGCGCGGGCGGTGGAGCGAGGGGTGTTGCTGGCGCGAGTGCCAATCAGAGACTTCGACCACGGCGACCAGGTGCCACCACACTTACACCCCTGTCTCCCTCCTTCTCTCGACTGCTCTGCTCTCATGCGTGCTCATGTCCCTTCCCATTCCTTCCCACCTTCCACTCCTATTGCTGATCCAATCTCCACTTTCTACTTCAAAATCCGCTCTCATCATTGCACCCCTCCCCCTCCTCCACACACTCACCCCCTTGCTCTCCGCCCCACCTTCCCCCTCCAACCCCCTCTCTTCCCTTCCCCCCGGCCTCTCCACGGCTCCGCCCCCCCTTCCGCCGCTGTGTGCCGTGCAGGCGTTCATGCTACCGGAGGCGGTGCGGGTGGTGAACGTGCTGCTGCACCGCGGCCACACCGTCTACGTGCACTGCACGGCGGGCATCAACCGCGCCTCGCTCGTGAGCGTGGCGTACCTCTACTTCGTGCAGGGGCTGCGCCGCGACGAGGCCGTCACGCTCGTCAAGACCGCAAGGCCCATCGCGCACCCGTACCTGGACTGCCTGGCGGACGCCAAGCGGCGGCTGCTGGAGGGGCGGCAGGAGGAGATGACGGCGCTCGCCACGCAGATCTATGAGCAGCGCAGCAACGGCGGTCACACCGGCTCCGCCACCTCTGATTGGTCCGCCGCCCAGGTGGGGGAGGAAGGGGAGACAGGAAGGGAGGGGAAGAGAGGGTGGAGAGGTGTTGCGGGCATGGCACGTGTTGCTCAGCATCGCATCTGCCGGCTATGCTCTTGCCTCATTGCAGGCCCCGTTGTGCCCACCAGCTGGTTTCCCTGCCCCTCCCTGCTCATGCTCTCTCCATCTGTCCTGCCCGTCCTTGCATTGCCCTCTTCATTGTGTTGCCACTCCCGTGCCTGCCAGACGACAGCCATTGCAGCATCGTTCCGCAAGTACCTCGAGGTCGACAATGTGAGTGCCGCCCTGCCCGCCTCGCATGTGCTCTCAGCTATTTCAAGGCTTGCTGTGGTGCATGCACCTCCCATCACCCCCTGCATCCCCTCCCAACACACACAAGCACACACAGACACCTGCTGGAGCACACCCAGGCACACACATGCACTGTCACCCACATGCGCATGCACAAAGCAACAATGCACTGCAAGTTGTTGCTGCGCGCATGCTTGATGGTTTTCACAGCAAGCAAGCCAAACTGGACGATACTCTGACGCCACCTTTGGTGCTCCGCTGCCCTGCCATCCCCCCCCCACACTCCCCCCCAACCCCCCCTCCCAGGGCCTGCTGTCAATGGAGGACGACCTGGCAGCAGCGGCAGAGGCGAGGCGGCAGCAGCAGGAGGAGGAGAGCGATGACGAGCGCGGGGAGGCGGTGGCAGCGGAGATCGAGCGGCTGACGGGGGAGCTGCGGCAGCAGCGGGAGGAGATCCAGCAGCTGCAGGCGGCGGCACGGCAGTGGAAGCTGCAGAAGGAGCAGGCGGAGGGCATGGTGCAGCTGCTGCAGCAGGAACTCGCCATGAAGGACGCCGCTGCTGCCACTGCTGCTGCTGCTGCTGCCGCCGCCGCTGCTGCTGCTGCCGCTGCTGCAGCCCCTGCAGCCGCCGCTGCAACCCCTGCAGCCGCCGCTGCAGCCGCTGCAGCAGGAGGGGGAGCTGGCAGCTTGAAGGTGGCAGGGAGCACGACCAATGGAGTTGCTGTGGTGTCGAGTGTGGATGGGGCCAATGGTGTTGTTGCCAATTCAAAGCCCGTGGGACCTTCTAAGTCTGAAAGTGTCCCAAAGTCACTCAAGGCTGCTGAAGATCTGGTATGAATACAAGCACCATACAGTTTATTATTGCCTTGTTTCCTAACAAAGTGTCTTTCAGTACCTAGGATGAAGAAGAATAAATGTGCTGTGTAATAGTATGTGAGTCCCCACCTTGAAGGAATACTCCACTCCTGGAAACTGCATGTAGTGGCGTCTCAACATTTTTAAGATGGTGTGAGGGACAACACACTGTATAAGAGAAGACAGAACCGTCTGTTTACAAGGTGTATGCTTACCAATCTTTTTTTTGGGGGGTAAACAGGTCATTTCTCCTGAAAAATGCAGTGGTTCTTCCTGCACCATCACCTCCTTGTTTCTCGGGATTCCAGAAAACTAACCTACTGCTGAAAGTTGTCCTGATGTGTGGTAGCGTGCCTGGTGTGGCTGTTCTAAGCTGGCAGAGAACCCATCCACATGGTCCGGATCTGATTTCTTGCGATCAGTGCCGACCGCTATTTTGAAGCCTTGCACATTCTCGCGGTGGACTTTTGGCGATTGGGAGCACACGCGACAAAACGGATCAATTTCGGTTCGGTGGATGAGAGCCATGGCTGGCTGCAGCCAGGTGGGCCTGGACGAAGCGTGACACGGAGCCTTCCGGTTCGCTCGTGCATATGCTTGGTGCAGAGACAACTTGCTCTGAGGGTGGGGGATGCCCCCTTCCCGCACAGCGGCAGCTCCAAGGTGTTGCGGAAACTTTATGCGCTCGCAGTCGCGGACCTGCGGTGCGGAGAGCTCCCGGTGATGGCAGTCTCTCCTTCCCCCGCATAGCCTTGCATCGATTCCCCCATCCGCCACCTCTTCCCAGTAGTACACCCGTTTCCGGGAATCGTTGGAACAGTGTTACCCTCTCTCCGTGACCACTGCTATCCGTCATTCCAATCCCATCCACAACCATCCAGCAAGTAGCCAGCTTGTTTTAATGCACTGTTTTTCCTGCCCGGGTCAGAGCGGAAATCCAGTTCCTTCTCCGGCCTCCTCCTCTCCTCTGCATTGCATGTGACGGCTCACGAATTTCTCTCCACTGTTGCAATCATAATGTTGGTCACGGAGAGTTGCAGTACGATTGGCTAAATCTTCAACAAGGTGAAAACGGTTGAAGTACGGTGGAACGACATCACTTGCACATCTTCCATCATCCTCCTTGAAGCGAGAGAATGACTCCTGTGGCCAATAAAGTGATTCACCGTTTCTCGCGTGGCCACGAATGACTCGAGTGGCCACCAAATTTGGTGATAATGACTCGAGTGGCCACGCCAGGGGATTCTTGCTGGCTTTTTTTATTTGACGCATTACCCTACGGGGCTTTGTAGCCACGAAATTCCCCATTCGTGCGAGTGGTATCCTTAGGTAGTGTTCCGTTCTGTTCCGCACCCGAAAATTTCGCCCACACACTGTACACAAAACCGTAAAAAATGCACGACCAACAGTAGTTGCGCAGTCATTTTCGGCCCAACGCCCGACCAATGAGCGCGCGGTAAAAAAAATCAGCGATCATAAACCGCTCTGCGGGGGCATAAATGCGCGAACACATTAGTGACCGCGGGCAAGAAAAAAAACTAAAACCCACTCGGAAGGCATGCCATCCGAGGGAGCCTCAACCCTAAAATTTTAGGGTTGAGGCTCCCGAATGGCATGCCGTAAGCCATGGGGTTTATTTTTTTAGCACTTTAGGGTAATGCGCTGTGAAAAAAAAGCCAGCAAGAATCCCCTGGCGTGGCCACTCGAGTCATTATCACCAAATTTGGTGGCCACTCGAGTCATTCGTGGCCACGCGAGAAATGGTGAATCACCTTATTGGCCACTGGAGTCATTCTCTCCCTTGAAGCCCCACTTCCTCCTACCACCTGCTTCTGCTTCTGTTCAGTGTCCTGTTCCACGACCGAGGGATCTGACCAAGCTTGTGAAACCCTAGTCACTTCCGTGAGATTGGTTGCATTGTCACGAAGGATTTCTGGCCTGAGCTGCCTGAAGTACATTCACCTTGCTCGTTGTGCATAGTTCCTTCGCGGCGAGTGCGCTCCGTCCATGCGTCCACATGTAAATTTGATATGTTTTGCTGCTACAGCGGGCGACAAGCTTATGTAAAAAGGATTTTTTATTTTTAGATCTTTCCGTAGACGCCCCCATACGTAAATATGACGTCGAGTCAGGTGTCAGCAGCGTTTGCGGCGGCGCGCACGTCGAAGGTGACGACGATAGTGTGGTTCCGCCGCGACCTGCGCGTCGAGGACAACCCCGCGCTCATCGCGGCGGCGCAGCAGGGCGCCGTGGTGCCGCTCTTCGTGTGGTCCCCGGAGGAGGAGGGGCAGTTCTTCCCCGGCCGCGTGTCGCGCTGGTGGCTGCGCAACTCGCTCTCGCAGCTGCACGCGGCGCTCACGGCGCTGGGCGTGCCGCTCTTCATGCGGCGCGCCAAGTCGACCCTGGCGGTGCTGCTGGAAGTCATGGCGGCCACCGGCGCCACGCAGGTCTTCTACAACCACCTCTACGGTGCGCTGCCCTCCGCCCACCGCCCCGCCCTGCGCCCCGCCTTACCCTCTCCATGTCCCCCCCTCCCCCTGCGTTTCTCAAATCTGGCCCTTTCCTTCTCGTGGCATACCGCCCGTGTATATGGCTCGTCAGCCACCGAATTCCAGATCCTTCATACTACTTCCTCCCTCCCTCTTGCCCTCCCCCACTTCCCCCTCCTTCCCCCCCTCTCTTCCCCCCCCCCCCCCCCCACCCCACCCCCACCCCCACCCCTCCGCCCCCCGTGTGCGCGCAGACCCCGCGTCGTTGGTGCGCGACCACCGCGTGAAGCAGGAGCTGAGTCGGCGCGGCGTGGTGGTGCGCTCGTTCAACGCGGATCTGCTCTTCGAGCCCTGGGAGATCTTCGACGACCACGGCAAGGCCTTCACCACCTTCCGCTCCTTCTGGCGCCACTGCCTGCACCACCCGCGCCCCTCGCGCCCCGACCCGCCGCTCCCCGCGCCCGCGCGCCTGTGCGGGCCGCTGGGGTTCGTGCGGAGCGTGGCGGTGGAGCTGCTGGGGCTCGAGGCGGACGACGAGCGCCCCAGCAACGACCTGCTCGCGCGCGCCTGGCTGCCCGGCTGCACCAACGCGGACCGCGCGCTCGTCGCGTTCCTGCACGGCCCGCTGCTCGAGTACGCCGCGAACCGCAGCAAGGCGGACAGCGCGACGACGTCGCTGCTCTCCCCGCACTTGCACTTCGGGGAGATCTCCGCGCGCCGCATCTTCCACGAGTGCCAGCGCCTCAGCGTCGCGTGGCAGAAGGACGGGCTCCCGCGCGCGGCGGAGAGCGTCGCGCAGTTCGTACGCGCGCTGGGCTTCCGCGAGTACTCGCGCTACCTCTCCTTCAACTTCCCCTTCACGCACGAGCGCTCCCTCCTCGCGAACCTCAAGCACTTCCCGTGGCGCGTCGACGAGCACATGTTCAAGCTGTGGCGGCAGGGGCGCACGGGTTACCCGCTCGTGGACGCGGGCATGCGCGAGCTGTGGGCGACGGGGTGGCTGCACAACCGCATCCGCGTCGTGGTCGCATCGTTCTGCGTGAAGTTCCTGCAGCTGCCGTGGCGGTGGGGAATGAAGTACTTCTGGGACACGCTCCTCGACGCGGATCTCGAGGCGGACGTGCTGGGCTGGCAATACATCAGCGGCTCGCTGCCCGACGGCCACGAGTTAGATCGAATGGACGACCCCGAGGAGGACGGCTATCGCTTCGACCCCGAGGGGGAGTATGTGCGGAGATGGGTGCCGGAGCTCGCGCGCGTGCCGACGGATTGGATTCACCACCCGTGGGACGCGCCCCCCGTCGTGCTGCGCATGGCGGGGGTGGAGTTGGGCGCGAATTACCCGCGGCCCGTGCTTGATGTGCTCACGGCGCGGCAGCGGCTGCAGGAGGCGGTGGACACGATGTGGCAGCGCGAGGCGGCGCTGAAGGCGGCGGCCGCCAACGGGTGCGACGAGGGGCTGGGCGACACGGAGGAGGTGCTCGTCGCGTTCTCGCGCGCGCCCGACCACCGCCTGCCCATGCGCGTGCACACCGCGCTCGTGCGCCCCGAGCTCAGCTGCGCCAATGGCACCTCCGCCCCCGCCGCGTCGCACAGCACGCTGGCGGCCAGCGCGAGGGGCGGCGCAGGAGGGTTGGCGCGCTCCGCGTCGTGCGACTCCGCCGCTGCCAGCGGGGTCGGGCCGTGGCGCGGGCCTGCGGATAACGGGGAGGGGGAGGCGCAGGGGGTGCGCGCGGGCGGGGAGGAGCTCCCCCTGGCCGTGCAGATGGAGGCGGCGGCGGCGGCAGTGATGGCGGCGGACAGGGCGGGGAAGGCAGCGCGCGGAGCGGCGGAGGGGGAGTGCGCGGAGGCGAAAAGACAGGCTGCGGATGGAGACGCAGCGGAGCTGGGGGCGAGGGCGGATGGCGCGGACGGCGCGGGCGGTGCGGGCGGAACCGTGCCGGGCGTTGTCCCGTGGAACGACCAGATGGTGCCGTACTTCCCCTCGCCCGCCACCATCCAGGCCGCGGAAGCCATTCTCGCGGGGGACGCCGCCGCCGCCGCGCGCGCCACCGAGGCGGAAGGCGTGCAGCCGCCCTTCCCCAAGGACGTGGCGGCGGAAGAGAAGGGCACTCGCCCCCCTGCGCCGGGCGCGCCGGAGCAAGCGGGTGCAGGGAAGGGGAACGTGGCGGGCGGGGCGACGTCGGCGCTGCCGCGCTGGGCGGCAGTTCTGGGCGGGCAGGGCGGAGGAGCCGGGCACGGGACGGCGGAAGGGCTGTCCCCGTCCGCGCGCGTGTCCAGTCTGGTGGAACTGCAGCTGTTCCCCTCTGCCCCGCGCCCCGCCCCCGCCGATGGCGCGCGCGCGCAGAGGGGGAAAGTGGCGGAGGGGAGGCAGGCGGAAGGGTCGAAGAAGGACGGTGGGGGCACGACGGGGAAGGAAGGCGGGGGAGTGCTGGGGAAACGCGGATTCAGTAACGTGTGGGGAGATGACATGCCGTTCCCTTCTACAATGTTCCGAAGAGTGAAAGATGAAACGCCGTTCGTACCCGTACTGGTGCAACAGCAACTGCGGCAGTACCAGCAGCAACAACAGCAGCGGCAGGCGCAGGAGGGGCAAGAGCACCTGGCGGCGATGAGGGCGGGTGTGACGGCGGAGGTGGGGCAAAAGCTCATGGCGCTGCAGCAGCAACAGCAGCGGCTGGCGGCGGGCAACGCCACGAATGCGCGCGACCGCTGCAACGCGCCCAACGACCCCGCCGGCGCAGCCAGAGCGGCGCCAGGCGCAGCAGCCGCGGATGCAGCTGCGCCAGGCGCGGCGGAGCAGCAGAGGGGCGCGGCGGGCAGGGAGGCGGGCGGGGTGGGGGGCGGGGTGGGGGGCGGGGCGGGGGGGCTGTACGCGGGGCCCACAGGGCGCGTGGCGCTGACAGGCCTGCCCTTCCGCGTGAGCGCCGCTGCTGAGGCGGGCGCCACCAGTACTGGCGGTGGGGGCGGGGAGGGCAGAATACCCCCCGCCCCCGCCCACGCGCACGCGCACGCGCAGGCCCAGGCGCATGTGCAGGCGCAGGCTGAGGCAGAGGCGGAGGCACAGGCGCAGGCAGAGATAGAGGCGCAGATAGAAGCGCAGCTGGGCGGACATGCTGCTGCAGCCGCAGCCGCAGGCAGGGCGCACAATCGTGGGATGCGGTCGCCTCAACGCAGCAAGCCCGAGCGGCTGTCCAGTGAGGTCAGTCCACTGCACACGCCTTGCTCTGCTCTGCGCTGCACTCTGCTCCTTGCTCCTCGCCCCACGTACCTCGCCCACGCCTCCCACCACATGCCCCTGATAAAGGCGCCTTACGAGTCTGTTTGTTGCCCCTCTTTCTTTCCCCTAAGTCCTTCTCCCTGCTTATCCTGCCCTCCTTACCTTATCTTTAACGAGGTCTTTCCACTCTGTCCTCCCCTCCTCTGTGTGCGGGGTGCAGGATGCGACAGCAGCAGCCATGGGCAAGAAGGGGTGGGGGCCGCTCACCTTCCTCTCCCTCGTGTCGCCACACCTGCCGCACCACCCAGCAGACCCCCACGCCCTGCCCGCCTTTCCCCCGTCCGCTGCTCTGCAAGAAGGGGTGGTGCCCAGGCAGCACATCCGCCTCTTCCCCTCCTGATGCCGTGCCGACCAACAGCCGCCTTATGCGTTGCTGATTTGTTGCTGTGTGAACAGCCTTTTGCACTCGATTCTTTCCTGTTTCATGGTGTACACATGCTGTAGTTTGAACTGATGGTGATGGCACGACAATTTGCCACTGAACACCATCCTTGTTATAAGCAGCGTTGATGCATGTTGCATTAGTTTACACACTTACCGTTTTTGTAATATTCTGTAATACTGCAAGAACCTCACTACACTACAGGATGAAGAGGTAAAATACGCAACAGTAGTAGCACATTGGGGTATTGAAAGGGGTTAGAAATACGTAAGGAGGCGGCAAAAGGCCAATTAGGATAGCTATGCAAGAAGAGAATCTTAGTTCAGTGCTACAGCTTAGCATAGCACACCTCAAGGATGCACCATGCATGCAAATCAACCACATCACCCCGCACAACGGTACCAGGATTATGCTCTAGATAAAAGGGAATTCGTTTAAGCTAGCTGCCGTGAACCATGGCAGTGAGGGGCAGAGCAAGGAGGGGCTGTGGTTAGTGGGCTGGGAGCGGTGCACGTTGGGCAAGCAAGCACCCACGTGCACACAGGGCAGGGAGCATGAAAGGCGCCCTGACACAGCAGCAGGCAACGAGCAGCAGGCAGCAGGCAGCGGGCAGTGAGCAGCAGGCAGCAGGAGGCAGCGAGCAGAAGCAGGGGAAGAGGAGCAAAGGAGTGTGGCTGGAAGGAGCAGAGCCCTTAGAGAGCAGCAGCACTCCAAACAGAGGTTACAGCAGGGCAGCAGAGGATTGCCCATGGCTGAGCACAGCACAGCAGAGCGGAGCAGGGCAGAGGGCGCCACACAGCACATGGCTTCCCCATGATCATGGCTCACGCGGTGCTGTCTGCGCCGTGAGCTGCGCGCCCCTCCCCCTCGGGCTGCGACACGATTGCCTGCACCTTGCTGAGCAGGCTGAACATGCTCTGCTTTATGTCCGGCACCGCCCCCGCCCCTGCTGCCCCCACTGACTCCCCACTCCCTTCTCCTGCCCCTGCTGCGGGCCCTGCAGCAGCAACCATGGCACCAGCAGCGCCATCAGTGGCAGCAGCAGGGGCAGGGGAGGCGGTGGGCAGAGGGGCAGGGGTAGACGGGAGAGAGGGTGGTGCAGCAGGGGTGTGTGCGGGAGGGGGTGCGGATGGGTGTGAAGGGTGGGTGGGCTCCACAGGGGGCGTGGGGAGCGCGTCCTGTGCCTCCCACCAATCGTCGCCTCCCGCCCCCCCATCCCCCCCTCCTCCCCCCATTCCCCCCGCCCCTGCTGCAAACCCAGGGGGCAACCCCTCCCTGCCTGGCTGCCCGCCCATACCCCCTCCCCCGCCAGCAGCAGCGCCAGGAGAAGTGGCGGCGGCGGCAGCAGCATGGTGGTGGCGGCGGGGGTCTTTGGAGCGTGGCAGCAGCGAGCGCGTGGACGGACCCAGCGTGGTGGGCGTGCCCATCCATGCCGCACTGCCTGGCCTCTGCGCTGCCTGCGCTGGATTCGCCTGGAAGAGGGGAATGGAGAGTAGGGAAACGGGAAAAGAGAGTGGCATGAGTGTGAGCAGGCAGGAGGGAGGGGAGGGAGAGGAAGGGGGAGAGGAAGATCCGGTGAGAGGCAGTGGACGGGCCGAGAGTGGTGGGCGTGCCCATCCATGCCGCACTGCCTGGCCTCTGCGCTGCCTGCGCTGGATTCGCCTGGGGGAGGTGAATGGGGGAAGAGGGGGAGAGATGGGACAGAAAAGAGCGTTAAGGAGCAGGGAGGGAAGAGACAATGGTGGTGAGGAGAAGGGCCCGGTGAGAGGCAACTGTGGGGGAAACAAGTGTGATCAAGATATGTTCTTCGGAATGGATGCGTGGTAACCGCAACAACAGCAGATAAAGAGCAGGTCGACACAAAGAGAATCATTGGCACGCACCAGGCTGTGGCGCTGTGAGGGTGTGAGGCGCGCTGCAGGGGCGGCGGGCACAAGGGCAGCACCGGCAGGGGGAGGCGCGAGGGCGCGCGGGGGAGTGGGCGCGGGGGAGACCGCGGGGGGAAGGCGCGCAGGGAGGGTCCGGGTGGAGGGAGGGAGGCCGTGGGCGGAGGGTGGGGGGGTGTGGGCGGAGGGATATGTGGGGCGGATAGGCAGTGCTGAGTCCAACTGATGGCGGGAGAGAGGGGGAGAGGGGGAAGAGGGGGCAGGGGAGGGGAGCAGGGGGGGGAGAGAGATGAAAGAGGGGACAAACGTGAAGAGTGACAAACGTGAAGAGGAGACGAGCGTGAAGAGGAGACGAGCGTGAAGAGGAGAAGAGCGTGAAGAGGAGCGGTGGTTGAAAAGGGGAGGCGAGGGGAGGTGCGTGTGGAGAGGCGGAGGGCGGAATGCAGAGAGCAGAGACATGGACGCGCATTGAGAAAAAAAACAAAGGAAGGGGGAATGGCATGACAGCAGCATGGTACAGTGCCCAGCGGAAAAACGGGGAGAGTGGCGAGGCGAGAGCGCGAGCAAGCAAGGGGGGGGTGGGGAGCACTGACGGAGGCGGTGTAGGGGCGCAGGCGGAAGGACACGTCCCATGAGCCAAAGAGCGACGAGCCGTGCATGGCCTCGTGCATGGCTGCTGTAGCTGACGCTGGGTCCTCAAATACCACCTGCGTGCACGGGTGGGGAAGGGGGTGGGGATGAGACGAGGGTTGGGGAGACTGTGTGTGTAGGGTCTGTAGCTCAGCTGATGATGGGTCCTCGAATACCACCTGCCTGCGTGCACGGGGGGGAAGGGGGTGGTGGTGGGGGTGTTTTGGCGGACGGGCAGGGGCATGGTTGTGTGGGGATGAGCAGGGGCACGGTTGCATGGGGGCGAAGCGGTGTGGGGCACATGGCACGCTGTAAAGAGGGAGAGAGAGCAACATTGGTGACGACCCCCCAGCAATCCCCACCCCTTTCACGCACCTCAGCGATACCCCTTCCTCTCTTCCCCTTCATGCACCCCAGCAACACCCCTCTCCCTCCGCACCTCAGCAACGCCCCACACATTCCCCTCCACCCCTCCCATTTCACCTCTCCCTCTCCTCTCATCTCAGCGACGCAGCAGCAAAGAAGCGAGCGAAGGCGGCGCCAACCCCACACACTCCCTTCCACCCCTCCCACCTCACCCCAGCAACACCCCTTTCCCCCTCCCTCTCCTCACCTCAGCAACACCCCTTTCCCCTTCACCTCAGCGACTCACCTCAGCGACGCCCTGGTATTTGATGAGCTTGGCGCCCAGCAGCGCACCGAAGCGAGCGAAGGTGGCGCGCAGCTGAGCCACTGACGGCTGCGGCATCTGCTTCGGGAACCGCATGCACAGCACCTGCTGGCCGCCGCCCCCCTGCTGCTGCCCGCCCCCTTGCTGCTGCTGCCCGCCCTGCTGCCCGCCCTGCTGCCAGCCCTGTTGCCAGCCCTGCTGACCCTGCCCCTGCTGCTGCTGCGGATGGGAGTGGGGCTTTAGGGGTGGGAGTGAGGGACGGGAGAGAGAAGGGTGGAGGGTGAGAGAGGGATACAAGGGAATGCATGATCCGAGGATAAAGAACACCATCATACTGCATTGAACGGACTCTGCTGCTTCATCTCCATCCACGACCCACTACACCACCACACCATCCCACACCGCACTACACTATGACATACGCCATTACACCACCCAACAGCACGCCACAGCATGCCTCGCCACATCATGCAACACCAACTGAGCCCGCCGTAAGCAGAGCAGAGCAGAGCACGCACCTGCTGCCATCCCGGTGGCACTGACGTAGCATCCTGTGCTGTCAGTGCTAGCGCATGTGGGGGCGATTCTGGAGCAAGGGCGGGCAGCGGACGAGCGGGCGCAGGGCGAGAGAGGGAGAGGGCGGGGCACGAGGTAAGGGATGGAGAGGGGGGCAAGTGCAGGGAGGCAAGGGAGTTGAGGTATTATGTGCCGAGCTACACGGGGAGAGGGGCACAAGGAGGACAAAAGAAGGTAGTGCACAGCGGCCCACAGCAGAGAGCACACAGGAGGAGGAAGAGACAGCCGTCTCGGCACAGAGCAGCAAGAGCTGTGTGGCACGGCACATGCACACACTCATCGACGCCCACCACGCACATTCCCCTCTTCCCCCCCCTGCCCCGCACTCACCATCCGCGCCTGCTCCACCACGCGCCTCCCTCTTAGCGGCCGCCAGCTGCTGCAGTGACCGCCGCCGGCCCTCCGGACTCAGCGCCTCCCCCTCCCCACGCGCAGGCACCCCTGCCTTGCGCTGCCGCACTGCCCTCTCCTGCCCCGCCTCCTCCGCGTCGCGCTGCCTCCCCTCCCACTCCCCCCCTTCTGCCGCTCCGCCCTCCGCCACTCCTCCCTCGCTTCCTCGCCCCCTGCCCCTCCCCCTACCTCTCCCCCTCCCCCTCCCTCTCCCCCTCCCAGTCAAACTCACCCCCCCTCTCCCCCCTGCCTCCCCACCTGCCTCCCCCCTGTCCCGCCCGCCCCTCCCCCCTCTCGACCCCCGTCCGCGCCCACGTCCCCTGCCCCTCGCAACCACAGGCCTCTCCTCATCACTGTGCCCGTCCTCCTCCTCGCCCCCCTCGCCCCCCTCGCTCTCACTGCCAGGCCGGGCGTCCACCAGCCGCTGCTGCCGCCGCGCCTTCACCTCCGCCTTGGTGCGCCCCCGAGGCCGCACTGCCCCTCCCGCCCCCTCCTCCCCTGCTGCTGCTGCTGACGTTGCTGCCCCTGCCTTGCGTGCTGGTGCCGCTGGTGGGGGCGGTCGCGGCACTGGTTCCTCCTCCTCTGCCTCCTCCTCCCACCTGTCCTCCTCCTCCACCTCGCCTGTTATCACTCCCACTCCCTCCTCCTCCTTTTCCTTTTGCTTCCTCTCCCCCTCCATCATCTCCTCCTCCTTCGCCCCTTCATCCTCACGGATCTTCTCCCCACTTACCCCTTCCTTTCCTCCCTTCTCCTCCTCCTTGACCTCCACCTTCTCCTTCACCCCGCCTGCCTCCGCCTCCCCTCCCTCCACCTCCATCGGAGCAGCACCTTCACCAGCAACCGCCTTCTTCTCTTTCTCACCCTCCTCTTCCTTTGCCTTTTCCTCTTCGCCCTCAGCGGCTGCCACAGCACCCTCGCCTGGTGCCTTCTCCGCAGCCTTCCCTTGTGCTTCCGCCTTCTCACCTCCCTCTGCGCCCACCTCTCTCTCCGCCTCTCCCGCCGCTGCACTCTTTTCTCCCGCTGCCTCAGGGCCTGCCTTGGCTGCTGGGGCCTTCTTTGCCTCGCCTGCACGTGCAGACAGTGATGACCGAGAGGGTCAGTGGGTGGAGGGAGCGACCGAGGAAAGAGGAAGCGAGAAGGGGTTGGAGGAAAATCGAAAACACGTACCCTTGCTAGCAGCGGCAGGTGGTTTGTGCGAGCGGGCGAACCAGAAGGTGTGCTGGCGCCATGCTGCCACGGGCTTGAGTGACTCGCTCAGATCCGCCCTGCGGCACACAGGTGGGGGAGGGTAGGCACACGCAGATGGATGAAAACCCATGTTACAGGCACTGTTGTGCATCCATGCAGTGCTGACGTGCACACGCTGCATCAACGCCAATCACATGCACATGCATCAACACGCTCACATGCCCATACACACACGCCCCACTCACATACCCAACGTCCCCCAATCACGTGGGCCTCCCACTCACAGCTCCAGGGGGCTCCTGGCGAGGCGCAGCAGGTCGTCACGGGCGGTTTCAGCGCCGGCCTTGATGCCCAGCCGCTGCATCTCCACCGCCCACTTGAACGCGTTGCTCGGCCGCCCCTTGCCCCGCCCCCCGTTCCACCCGCCCTAGGCGACTGCACAGGCGAGCGCAGTGGCGACTGCACTGGGGACTTGTCCTCCCCACCCTGCTCCGCCCCTTCCGCCCCCTCCGCCCCTTCCTTCGCCTCTCCCTCCGCCCCTTTCTTCCCTGTCGCCACTCCTGCTCCAGCCCTCTCCTCCTCCTCCCCTCCTGCTCCCTCGTCCGCTGCTCCCTCCTCCCCTGCTGCCCCCTCCGCGCTCTCCTCCTCATTTACCACGCGCTTCTTCCTCCTCCGCCGCTTCCCCTCCTCCCCCTCCCTCTCCTCGCCAGCTCCCCCCTCCGACTTGCGTCGCCTCATCTTCTTCTTCCTCCGCTTCAGACCCTCTTCCTCCCCCGCCTCCTCCTCCTGCTCATCCTCCTTCTCCTCCTCCTCTTCCTCCTCCTCCTCCTCTTCCTCCTCCCGCGTCTCTTTCCACCCTTCTCCCTCTGCTTGCCCCTACGCCCCTTCTTCCTCCTCCCATCCTCTTCGTCCTCCTCCTCTTCCTCCTCACCCATTTCAACTTCCTCATCCTCCTCCTCCCACTTCCGCCCTCGCTTCTTCTTCTCTTTCACCACCACCACCTCCTCTTCCTCCTCCTCTTCCTCCTCCTCCTCCTGCTCCTGCTCCTGCTCCTGCTGCTCCTGCTCCTGCTGCCTCGTCCTCCTCCACATGCGCCCTCCGCTTCCCCCCTTTCTCTCCGCCCTTCTTCTTCCCCTCCGCCCCAGCGCCTGCCCCCTCCCCATCGGGCACCACCAGGCGCCCCTCCACCAGAAAAAGCTCCCCCAGGTCGGGCCTGCGCGCGCCCTGCTCCCCGCGCCCCACCGTCGCCTTCTCTCCCCCCCTTCTATGAACCGCTGGCGCAGCACTGCTGCCAGCAGCGCGTCACGGTGCCTGTGGGGGGGGAAGAGGGAGGGGAGGAGAAAAGGAAAGGAGGAGGGGGGGGGGGGGGGGGGGGGGGGGAGATAGGGAAGGGGGAGGGGGAGAAACAGGAGGACGCAGTGGGAGCGAAAGGTGAGGGGAGAGAAGATGGCGGGTGGGGGGAATCCCAGGCCACTGGTTGGGGGGAAAGGGAGAAGAGGGACCAAGTGCAGTGCAGAGGAGGGAGGCATGAGTAAGGCACAGAGGGTTGCAGACTAGGTGGGTGGGTGCAAGGTGTGTGCGGCGAGAGGATGGTGCATGGAGCGATGGGGGGACGAGTGCGACTCACCCGCCGATGGGATTGCGGGCTGTGGCTCGCAGGTACGACAGCATGACGGCTGGTGGGGGGGTGACGACGGGAGGGGAGACGGGGCGCGCGAAGAGGAGAAGAAAACAACACACAGATTGCAACAAGCCCATGGTCACAGCACGGCAAGGCTCCAAAGCAGAGAGCAGACAGGTGCCTACTGGAGTTTACAGTCTAAGTACCACCTACTAAGGGGCGCAGACAGGCTAGGGCGTACTGGGGTTGACGCGGCGGTGCTGCGCAGCAAGCGTGGAGGGCTTGGCGCCGTGCAGCAGGCCCTTGGCCACCTGGTCGTCCAGCTCCACGAGGGCCTCCGCCACGGCCTGGCAGAAGAGCTTCATGGGCGTCTGCTGTGACTTGTCCCAGTAGTGCTCCGCGAATGGTAGTAGGTCCATTGGACGCAACCAGTTGCTGTGGGGGAAGGGAGAAAGCGGAGACGAGGGGAGCGACAAGGAGGAGATTGTTGCGGCGCGTGAAGAGCTTCATTGGCGTCTGCTGTGACTTGTCCCAATAGTGCTCCGCGAATGGTAGTAGGTCCATTGGACGCAACCAGTTGCTGTGGGTGGAGGGAGAAAGCGGAGACGAGGGGAGCGAAGGAGAGGGAGTGTTGAGGAGAGGACTCACAAGGCGCGCGGGCTGGCAGCGTTGGGCTTACAGAGCAACAGGGCACTCACAAGGCACGCGGGCGGGCAGGACGAGGGGCACTCACAAAGCACGCGGGCGGGCAGGACGAGGGGCACTCACAAGGTCTGGTCGCCATAGAAGCCGATGAGCAGGTGCCCCGAGCGGTGCTGCGCGCGCGCCCTGGGAGTGGCCTCGGAGGGGGAGAGCACGCGCGCAGGCCACCAGGGGTGCGAGCGCACCTTGGCCCACACCAGCTCGTGCACCACTGGCGCCCACTCCCCCTCGTCCTCGCTCCCCCCGCTCTCCTCCTCCCCCGCGCGCGCCCTGCCAGCCGCGGGAGTGGCGGGAGAAGCGGGGACCTTGGCGGAGGCCTTGGCGGGCGTGCCGTGGGGGCGGAGATGCGGGGACGCGCCCTTTGCTGCCTTGCGCTGGTCGCTGGCATCCCCGCCCTGCGCGGGCCTGTCCTCCCGCTGCTTCCGCCGCACCTCCTCCTTCCCCCCCTTGCCCTTCTTCCCCTCTTTCGGCACCTTTTCCTCGTCCGCTTCCTTCTCGCCCTTCCCCTCCTTCGTGTCCTTCCCCGTTTTTTTCTCTTTGTCGTTCTCTTCCTTCTCCCCCTCCCCCTCCTCTTCCTTTTCACCCTCCACCTCCACTTCTTCCTCTTCCTTCTCCGCCCTCCCTTCCTTCGCTTCGGTCCCCTCAGTCCCCTCCCCCTCGTCCTTCCTCTCCTCCTCCTCCGCGCTCCCCTTCTCCGCCTCGTCGCGCGCCTTCTCACCCGCACCAGTCGCGGACGCCGTTCCCCCTTCTGCTGCCACTTCTCCGCCTGCCGCGTCCATCCCTTCCGCCTCCACTCCTTCCGCCGCACCCCCTTCCGCTCCTCCCTCCGCTTTCGCTTTCTCTTCTGCTTTCTCTTCTATCATCTCTTCCGTTCTCTCCTCCGCTTTCCCCTCCTCTTTCTCCTCCGCCTCCGCTTTCTCCCCCGCTTCCTCCTCCGCTTCCTCCTCCGCTTTTCCCTCCGCTTTCCCTTCCGCTCCCTCCCCCGCTTCCTCCTCCATTTTTTCTCCCGCTTTCTCTTCCGCTAGGTCCTCCGGTTTCTCTTCCGCTTTCTCTTCCGCCTTCTCTGTCTTTTCCTCCACCCCACCGTCGTCGCGCGTCTCGTCATCGCCCTGCTCCTTCTTCTCGCCACTCTTCCCTTCTCGCTCGTTCGCGCCCTCCATTCCCGCCTCGCCGTCAACTCCGTCAGCCACGCCGTCAGCTTGCTTATTCTCACCGGCCTCAACACCCGTCGCGTCGCCACCCGCATTTTCGTCCGCACCTGCGGGCGTCGCAGCAGCTGCGTCAGCCGCAGCGGCCGCGTCGCCGCGCTCGACGTCATTCGCGCGACCATCGCTCGCGTCGCCGTCGTCTTTCACCGCTTCCGCGTCTCGCATTTCCTCGTCTTTTCCTCCCTCCACAGTCGTCGGTCCAGCAACCGGCTCAGCGTCGTTCGCATCCGAAACGCCGTTCTCTAGATGCCCTTCGCCGTCAGCGTCCGCCATAGCAATGTCTTCGTTATTCGTTGCTACTCCGTTCGCGCCATCTTTTCCAGAATCAACAACCTCCGGCGGTCGATCGCCTCCCCGAAATTTATCGCGGTCGATCAGATCTTTCTCCAATACATCAGACTCTTCCATTTCGCTTCTAATGCTTCAGCTAAAACGCCTATGCAAAAACTTCTTCGGTGAAACGCCTAAGATAAAGCACTTTCACCAAAGTGCTTTCACCAAAGGGAAGCTAGTTTCAGCAGACAGCGAGACGGGCTAACGGGAAAACAAGGAGACGAGAGGAGGGGAGAGGAGTTCGAGACGAGCTAGGGTTACGACGAAGGACGGAAATGGCAAAATCGAGGCGTGGGTTTGGAAGTTTGAATTGTGGGAGGCGCCGAGATGCGGGACCGAGCAAGGGTGGCATTTTGACGAGCACGGAGGGCGTGCGTATATCGAGGTGACTCCCCGACAACCACGGAGAAAATATAGATAACAACAGCAGTTCCTACAAATGATTCTCTGTTCTGCAAGGGGTGCTAGACAAAATTAATATAACTTAACTTGGACTTACGGTACCCATAGCAGGCTGTACATTTGGACCTGTCAGGTGTAGTGGTTACACATTGGCAACTCATCATTTTCCCTAGTGATGGTATTTCTTTGGCTTTGAACAAGGCTGTTCTAGTGGTGGGTGGGGTAACTTCAGCTACAGATGCTGTCAGCGATGACTCGGCGACAATAGAGGCATCGTGATACAATTGAAGTGGTTGTGGCAGGAGAAGACACCTCTCCAGGATGCGTGCAGTTGCTTTTTGGCCCTCCACCAGATTCCAGCACCCGGGAATGAATTGCCATGGCATCAATCCATCGCCACATGTCATACCGTAACGCACAAGCAAGGCCAGGCCACCCCTGTAAACATATACACTGCAGGGTACCGCATTGGTTTAATACATCTCAAATTGTGAAAATATAGGAACTTCTGTTGTTTCGCCATCCAGAGAATCAGATCATCCAAATATGCATCCTAAAAGTGCAGCAGCACACAGTACAACACTAAATAACAAACAGTACAAACCAGACCACGCCCTGAACTCTAAGCAGAATCAGATAAATGTCGCAAGTTGTAAAGATACTACCGTATAGTGTTATGTGATTGTATGGCATAGCATCTGAGGCAGCCATGAACTGCAAACCCCCACTCCTGCATCCCGCTTTCCTCCACTTCACTCCTTAACTGTCCTTGTCTTGCCCGGTCCTCCACATGCTCCTCAAGCTGCTGCCAGCCTGTACATGGCATGATGGCATGCCACATAATCACATACAATGCCACACGATGTCATGCCACAATGCCACACGATAACATGCCACAACATGACATGCCACGCCATGACATGCGATCGCACATGATTACATGCCACAGAATGACATGCCCACTCCACGCAATGACATGCCACACCAGACAGGCCATGCTAAGACATGCCACAACATGACATCCCATACCATGTCATGCCACACAACAACACTTGACAAACCATACAGAATCACACAATAACACACCACACTATGTCACACCATAGCACACACACTGTATCGTACCATACTATCATCCCACAAAATATCAGTCCACACAGAATCAGTCCACACAGAATCAGTCCACACAGAATCAGACAACACAGCTATTGTATCATATACTATCGTATCACACTGCAACACACCACGTGGCACCATACCACACTCTATCACACCACACTATGTCACACCATACCATGCCATCAATATACGGAACCACACCACACTGTATCACTATCACTCTGACTCGTAATATCATCACAAACTCACACCACATTACATAACACACACATTGCACTGTATCGATATCACTCTGTACCATACCACACTGTATGACACCACACTGTATCACACCACACTGTATCACACCACACTGTATCACACCACACTGTATCACACCACACTGTATCACACCACACTGTATCACACCACACTGTATCACACCACACTGTATCACACCACACTGTATCACACCACACTGTTTGAAACCATACCGTCTCATACCACACTATACCATACCAACCCACATCAACCGGTACCACACTGCATTATGCCAAACTATGTCATACCACATAATGTCATACAACACCGTATAAGTATAATACCATAACATATCATACCACACAGCACCATACCAACCCCCCACCACCACCCCTTGTTTCCCACCTTCACCTGCCAGCAGTAGGAGCAGCACACAGTCCACTCCCTTTCAGAAACAGCACCCTGAAGGGTTGTGACTTGTCAGGCGGAGGTGTGGCAGTGGAAAATTGCTTCCAGCCCAAGACTCAAATTCCACCCCTGACGTAGCTAGAGCTGACGCGAACCAGAGTCGCCGGCCGGTCGACTCTGACGGTGTCCATTAAGCTTTGAACGCCAGATCGGTTACTTGAGCACCGAGTGCCGTGCCGCGCAGATTCCATCCATCACACCCCAACCCACAAGCCACAACCCCAGGAGATGCTGCCCTAAGGAAGTGAACTGCCCACTTGCTCCCATGCCTCCCACCCACCCCCCTCCCTCCCGTCACCCCATGATTCCTTACCTGCACTTACCAGAGCCATGCAGAGCGCCATGATGCTGAGGCTGCTGGGAAGTGGAGAGAGAAGGGGGGGGATTAGGGGAGGACCGAACTCCACTGTGGTCCCGGCAGGGTGCTGCTGGGGGGAAAGGGAAAAGGGAGAGAGGAGGAGGTGAGTGAGAGGGTGGACTCCACTCTCCCGCCCTTGCTCCAGTGCTCCCACCCTCAGCCTGCGGGGAGAAGGGGGGAAGAGAGAGAGGAGGGGATCAGCTTACCATACCTCACCTGTAACCATACCTTACCTGTAACCATACCACACCTGTAACCATACCACACCTGTAACCATACCTTACCTGTAACCATACCACACCTGTAACCATACCACACCTGTAACCATACCACACCTGTAACCATACCACACCTGTAACCATACCACACCTGTAACCATACCACACCTGTAACCATACCACACCTGTAACCATACCACACCTGTAACCATACCACACCTGTAACCATACCACACCTGTAACCATACCACACCTGTAACCATACCACACCTGTAACCATACCACACCTGTAACCATACCACACCTGTAACCATACCACACCTGTAACCATACCACACCTGTAACCATACCACACCTGTAACCATACCACACCTGTAACCATACCACACCTGTAACCATACCACACCTGTAACCATACCACACCTGTAACCATACCACACCTGTAACCATACCACACCTGTAACCATACCACACCTGTAACCATACCACACCTGTAACCATACCACACCTGTAACCATACCACACCTGTAACCATACCACACCTGTAACCATACCACACCTGTAACCATACCACACCTGTAACCATACCACACCTGTAACCATACCACACCTGTAACCATACCACACCTGTAACCATACCACACCTGTAACCATACCACACCTGTAACCATACCACACCTGTAACCATACCACACCTGTAACCATACCACACCTGTAACCATACCACACCTGTAACCATACCACACCTGTAACCATACCACACCTGTAACCATACCACACCTGTAACCATACCACACCTGTAACCATACCACACCTGTAACCATACCACACCTGTAACCATACCACACCTGTAACCATACCACACCTGTAACCATACCACACCTGTAACCATACCACACCTGTAACCATACCACACCTGTAACCATACCACACCTGTAACCATACCACACCTGTAACCATACCACACCTGTAACCATACCACACCTGTAACCATACCACACCTGTAACCATACCACACCTGTAACCATACCACACCTGTAACCATACCACACCTGTAACCATACCACACCTGTAACCATACCACACCTGTAACCATACCACACCTGTAACCATACCACACCTGTAACCATACCACACCTGTAACCATACCACACCTGTAACCATACCACACCTGTAACCATACCACACCTGTAACCATACCACACCTGTAACCATACCACACCTGTAACCATACCACACCTGTAACCATACCACACCTGTAACCATACCACACCTGTAACCATACCACACCTGTAACCATACCACACCTGTAACCATACCACACCTGTAACCATACCACACCTGTAACCATACCACACCTGTAACCATACCACACCTGTAACCATACCACACCTGTAACCATACCACACCTGTAACCATACCACACCTGTAACCATACCACACCTGTAACCATACCACACCTGTAACCATACCACACCTGTAACCATACCACACCTGTAACCATACCACACCTGTAACCATACCACACCTGTAACCATACCACACCTGTAACCATACCACACCTGTAACCATACCACACCTGTAACCATACCACACCTGTAACCATACCACACCTGTAACCATACCACACCTGTAACCATACCACACCTGTAACCATACCACACCTGTAACCATACCACACCTGTAACCATACCACACCTGTAACCATACCACACCTGTAACCATACCACACCTGTAACCATACCACACCTGTAACCATACCACACCTGTAACCATACCACACCTGTAACCATACCACACCTGTAACCATACCACACCTGTAACCATACCACACCTGTAACCATACCACACCTGTAACCATACCACACCTGTAACCATACCACACCTGTAACCATACCACACCTGTAACCATACCACACCTGTAACCATACCACACCTGTAACCATACCACACCTGTAACCATACCACACCTGTAACCATACCACACCTGTAACCATACCACACCTGTAACCATACCACACCTGTAACCATACCACACCTGTAACCATACCACACCTGTAACCATACCACACCTGTAACCATACCACACCTGTAACCATACCACACCTGTAACCATACCACACCTGTAACCATACCACACCTGTAACCATACCACACCTGTAACCATACCACACCTGTAACCATACCACACCTGTAACCATACCACACCTGTAACCATACCACACCTGTAACCATACCACACCTGTAACCATACCACACCTGTAACCATACCACACCTGTAACCATACCACACCTGTAACCATACCACACCTGTAACCATACCACACCTGTAACCATACCACACCTGTAACCATACCACACCTGTAACCATACCACACCTGTAACCATACCACACCTGTAACCATACCACACCTGTAACCATACCACACCTGTAACCATACCACACCTGTAACCATACCACACCTGTAACCATACCACACCTGTAACCATACCACACCTGTAACCATACCACACCTGTAACCATACCACACCTGTAACCATACCACACCTGTAACCATACCACACCTGTAACCATACCACACCTGTAACCATACCACACCTGTAACCATACCACACCTGTAACCATACCACACCTGTAACCATACCACACCTGTAACCATACCACACCTGTAACCATACCACACCTGTAACCATACCACACCTGTAACCATACCACACCTGTAACCATACCACACCTGTAACCATACCACACCTGTAACCATACCACACCTGTAACCATACCACACCTGTAACCATACCACACCTGTAACCATACCACACCTGTAACCATACCACACCTGTAACCATACCACACCTGTAACCATACCACACCTGTAACCATACCACACCTGTAACCATACCACACCTGTAACCATACCACACCTGTAACCATACCACACCTGTAACCATACCACACCTGTAACCATACCACACCTGTAACCATACCACACCTGTAACCATACCACACCTGTAACCATACCACACCTGTAACCATACCACACCTGTAACCATACCACACCTGTAACCATACCACACCTGTAACCATACCACACCTGTAACCATACCACACCTGTAACCATACCACACCTGTAACCATACCACACCTGTAACCATACCACACCTGTAACCATACCACACCTGTAACCATACCACACCTGTAACCATACCACACCTGTAACCATACCACACCTGTAACCATACCACACCTGTAACCATACCACACCTGTAACCATACCACACCTGTAACCATACCACACCTGTAACCATACCACACCTGTAACCATACCACACCTGTAACCATACCACACCTGTAACCATACCACACCTGTAACCATACCACACCTGTAACCATACCACACCTGTAACCATACCACACCTGTAACCATACCACACCTGTAACCATACCACACCTGTAACCATACCACACCTGTAACCATACCACACCTGTAACCATACCACACCTGTAACCATACCACACCTGTAACCATACCACACCTGTAACCATACCACACCTGTAACCATACCACACCTGTAACCATACCACACCTGTAACCATACCACACCTGTAACCATACCACACCTGTAACCATACCACACCTGTAACCATACCACACCTGTAACCATACCACACCTGTAACCATACCACACCTGTAACCATACCACACCTGTAACCATACCACACCTGTAACCATACCACACCTGTAACCATACCACACCTGTAACCATACCACACCTGTAACCATACCACACCTGTAACCATACCACACCTGTAACCATACCACACCTGTAACCATACCACACCTGTAACCATACCACACCTGTAACCATACCACACCTGTAACCATACCACACCTGTACCACACCTCACCCACAACTAAGTAGCCTAACCTGCCCCTAGCCCCCCAACCCCCGCCGCTGCTACTGCTGCTGTCGCTGCCACATCTGCTGCTGCTACTGCTGCTGCCGGTCTGCTACTCTGCTTCCTCTGAAAGCTGCAATCTTCTCCTGACGCCAAGTGACCTGGTAGCGGGCAGAAAGGGGAGGAAGAAACAAGAGAAGAGGGGCAGAGGAACTGGTGAGTTGGCATGAACAAGTGGACAGAAGAACACTTGAGTGGACAGAAACGAGAATGCAGAATGAAGGGGAGAGCTGCTGCAGCGAGTGAAGAGGAGAGGCAAAGGCGTGAGATTACATACCTTGAGGGTGCCAAGCCCACCCCGATACTCTCCCTTGTGGCAGCACCCACTTCAGTCTGCTGCAGTGCTGTCTCCTTCCCATCCCCGTGGGTACCTGCAAGGCTACCAGGGGAGGGGCTGGGGAAGTGGTGGTGTTGACCCCCATGCCCCTCCGCTCAACCAGCAAGGAGGAAACTGAAGACAAGTGAGTAAAAGCTTAGGGGCACGAATGTGAGAGAAGTACATGGGTGAGGTATGATGGCAGGTGAGAGCAGAAAAGGGGGCCACTGATGCAGCCTCAGCTACAAACCACAGACCCAAGGGGGGGATATACCTAGAAAAGATTAACCTAAAACGAGGGGGTCTGTGGCTAGAAGCTGTGGCACAGCGAGAGGCTCAACTTTGAAGGGAGTGGAAATAGGAAATGCAGCAAGCATCCCCGTTGGAAAAAGAGTACAAGAATGAGAAATGGGTGCGAGCTGAAACTGGAGCGGTGGGTGGAGAGAAAATGAGGGGCAAGCAACTCACCCTGTGCAGCAGCAAGCACCCCGCATGCTCTCCCTTAGGAAGGAGTGCCACGCCTTAACCCGCCCGCATGTGCCTCTGGTGCAGGAGCGGACTGAATGGTGATGCTGCAGGGGGAGAGACACGGGAGCATGGAGGAGAGGAGAAACAAGTGAGTGGAGGAGAGGGGTGAGCAACGTTCGTAAACAGAAACTGCAGAGGAAAGTGAATTACAGGGAGTGAGGAAGAGCAGAAGAGCTTACCAGTGAAGGCCGAACCCCTCCCAATACTCTCCCTTAGGTAGACCTCAGGTCTTGTCGCTGCCTCCCTCGCACCCCCTCCTGCTCCTGCAAGGCCACCAGGGGAGAGGCGCGAGGAGTGGCGGTGTTGACCCCCACGCCCCTCCCCTCAACCGGCAAGGAGGAAACTGAAGAGCACTGAGTAGGAGGCTAGGAGTTGAAGCGTGCGGGGTGTGCATGGGTGGGGTGGGATGGCAGGCGAGAGCAGCAGAGGGAGCACTGGAGCAGCGCTAGGCACATGGTGCAGACCCAAAGGTAGTGTGGGCTATACTAAAGGTATAGGGCTTAGGATAGGCTTAACCTGGGGGCTGGGGGGGGTGGGTGATACCTGGAATAGGGGGTCTGCACCATGTGGGCTAGGCTGCTGCAAGTGGCTTGGCTTGAAGAGAGGAGGCTTGCAGCATGGATGGAAAGATGATGTGCAGATGCATGTGGGAGTGCATGTGTGAGAGAGCAAAAGCGTTGACAAGGCGAGAGGGAAGAGTGTACTTATCTGGTGCGGCTGTGAGTGGTGGTGGCGCCTTGAGCCTTGAGGCTGCCGTGCTGCCAGCACTGAAGCGCCTCACACCACCCAAAGGCGCTGCTACAGCCTTCAATGCACTGGGCGCTGGCAGAACGAGGGCAGGGCAGAGGGAAGCACGCAGGGAGCAAGGGGCACAAGTGAGAAGGGGGCGGAGACGAGGCAGAAGTGTGAGAGCAGGAAGGGAGAAAGAAAGGGAAGCGAGCATGGGGGAGAAGACCAAGTGGCATCATGTGACGGGAAGAGCTGAAAATCTCTGGCAGGGAGGGCAAAAGAGGCTCACCTTGTCTCAGATGACCCAACCCGATACTCTCCCATCCCATCTCAGCCGAGTGGAGTGCTGCCCCCCTCCCCTCCCACCACTGCCACCTGCACGGCCACAGGGGAGGGGCGTGGGGAAGCGTCGGTGTTGACCCCCGCCCCTCCCCTCCACCTGCAAGGCACACACGCAGAGCTGGTCAGTGGGCAGCGAGGGGATGAATGGTGAAAGTGCAAGAGAGGGAACGGCAGTTGCAAGGCGGGAGAGGGGAGGGGCCACTGGTGGAGGCCAAGTCACAAACTGCAGACCCAAGGGCTGCACCTGAGGGGGTACCTGCACACCTGCACCTGAGGGGGTACCTGCACACCTGCACCTGAGGGGTACCTGCACCTGAGAGGGTTACCTGAAGTAAGGGGGTCTGCAGCATGTGAGCCGGTCCCAACCAGTGGCGCTGTTTCAAGAGGAAGGTGCGAAAGCGCATGCAAACACGAGATGCAAGCACAGGACACAAGACATGGCGAGGCAGGCAAGGGGTTGAGGGAACTTAGCTGGCAGATGGAGAACGTTCGAGGGAGCTGTTGCCTCGTCCCTGCTCCCCTCCCCTCCTCCTCCAGTGTGCGTCTCCTGTTGAATGCCAAGTGACCTGGTAGGGGCAGCAGACAGGGGGGGAAGTAACAGTGGTTGAGTTGGCATGACCAGGAAAAACAACAAAAGCTGCAGTTAAAGAAATGAGAAGGCAAAATTGAGGAGCAGGAAGGGAGAGCGGTGGGGCTAAGAAGGGAGGTGACGTACCTTGAGAGGCCAAGCCCACCCCGATACTCTCCCTTGGTGCAGCGATTGGCAGTGCTGCCTCCCTCCCCTCCCCTCCCCACGGGTACCTGCACGGCCACAGGGGAGGGGCGTGGGGAAGCGTCGGTGTTGACCCCCGCCCCTCCCCTCCACCTGCAAGGCACACACGCAGAGCTGGTCAGTGGGCAGCGAGGGGATGAATGGTGAAAGTGCAAGAGAGGGAACGGCAGTTGCAAGGCGGGAGAGGGGAGGGGCCACTGGTGGAGGCCAAGTCACAAACTGCAGACCCAAGGGCTGCACCTGAGGGGGTACCTGCACACCTGCACCTGAGGGGGTACCTGCACACCTGCACCTGAGGGGTACCTGCACCTGAGAGGGTTACCTGAAGTAAGGGGGTCTGCAGCATGTGAGCCGGTCCCAACCAGTGGCGCTGTTTCAAGAGGAAGGTGCGAAAGCGCATGCAAACACGAGATGCCAGCAAAATACACAAGAAATGACGAGGCAGGCAAGGGGTTGAGGGAACTTAGCTGTAAGGCGTGAGAGCGAGCACAGGGCAGCTGCTGCAGCGCCAGGTGACTCCTTCCCCGACAGCCCTCCTCCTCGCCTTCCCGTGTGCTCCCATGGCCTCGTTCCCATGGCCTCGTTCCCATGGCCTCGTTCCCATGGCCTCGTTCCCATGGCCTCGTTCCCATGGCCTCGTTCCCATGGCCTCGTTCCCATGGCCTCGTTCCCATGGCCTCGTTCCCATGGCCTCGTTCCCATGGCCTCGTTCCCATGGCCTCGTTCCCATGGCCTCGTTCCCATGGCCTCGTTCCCATGGCCTCGTTCCCATGGCCTCGTTCCCATGGCCTCGTTCCCATGGCCTCGTTCCCATGGCCTCGTTCCCATGGCCTCGTTCCCATGGCCTCGTTCCCATGGCCTCGTTCCCATGGCCTCGTTCCCATGGCCTCGTTCCCATGGCCTCGTTCCCATGGCCTCGTTCCCATGGCCTCGTTCCCATGGCCTCGTTCCCATGGCCTCGTTCCCATGGCCTCGTTCCCATGGCCTCGTTCCCATGGCCTCGTTCCCATGGCCTCGTTCCCATGGCCTCGTTCCCATGGCCTCGTTCCCATGGCCTCGTTCCCATGGCCTCGTTCCCATGGCCTCGTTCCCATGGCCTCGTTCCCATGGCCTCGTTCCCATGGCCTCGTTCCCATGGCCTCGTTCCCATGGCCTCGTTCCCATGGCCTCGTTCCCATGGCCTCGTTCCCATGGCCTCGTTCCCATGGCCTCGTTCCCATGGCCTCGTTCCCTTGGCTGGCCTCGTTCCCATGGCCTCGTTCCCATGGCCTCGTTCCCATGGCCTCGTTCCCATGGCCTCGTTCCCATGGCCTCGTTCCCATGGCCTCGTTCCCATGGCCTCGTTCCCATGGCCTCGTTCCCATGGCCTCGTTCCCATGGCCTCGTTCCCATGGCCTCGTTCCCATGGCCTCGTTCCCATGGCCTCGTTCCCATGGCCTCGTTCCCATGGCCTCGTTCCCATGGCCTCGTTCCCATGGCCTCGTTCCCATGGCCTCGTTCCCATGGCCTCGTTCCCATGGCCTCGTTCCCATGGCCTCGTTCCCATGGCCTCGTTCCCATGGCCTCGTTCCCATGGCCTCGTTCCCATGGCCTCGTTCCCATGGCCTCGTTCCCATGGCCTCGTTCCCATGGCCTCGTTCCCATGGCCTCGTTCCCATGGCCTCGTTCCCATGGCCTCGTTCCCATGGCCTCGTTCCCATGGCCTCGTTCCCATGGCCTCGTTCCCATGGCCTCGTTCCCATGGCCTCGTTCCCATGGCCTCGTTCCCATGGCCTCGTTCCCATGGCCTCGTTCCCATGGCCTCGTTCCCATGGCCTCGTTCCCATGGCCTCGTTCCCATGGCCTCGTTCCCATGGCCTCGTTCCCATGGCCTCGTTCCCATGGCCTCGTTCCCATGGCCTCGTTCCCATGGCCTCGTTCCCATGGCCTCGTTCCCATGGCCTCGTTCCCATGGCCTCGTTCCCATGGCCTCGTTCCCATGGCCTCGTTCCCATGGCCTCGTTCCCATGGCCTCGTTCCCATGGCCTCGTTCCCATGGCCTCGTTCCCATGGCCTCGTTCCCATGGCCTCGTTCCCATGGCCTCGTTCCCATGGCCTCGTTCCCATGGCCTCGTTCCCATGGCCTCGTTCCCATGGCCTCGTTCCCATGGCCTCGTTCCCATGGCCTCGTTCCCATGGCCTCTCCAACGCTCCCTCCCCAAAACTCCCTCTCCAACGCTCCCTCCCCAAAACTCCCTCTCCAACGCTCCCTCCCCAAAACTCCCTCTCCAAAACTCCCTCTCCGAGCTAGGGGAAGAGACAGGGAGGTCTGCAGGTTCGCCTTGGGCTGGCATTGAGTGGCGTGGCGTGTGCAATGAATGAGCAATGGAGAGAGCAAGGAGGCGAGGCGAGGGGACTTATCTGCGCGCAGTGCAGTGCAGTGCAGAGCACGGTTGGAGGCAAGGCAGTGCGATGGCGAGTGGAGTGGCGGAGAGGGTCCTCGCCCACCGCTGTTGCCTCGCTGTCACTTCACGCCAATACCTCGTCGCTGCCTCGCTGCCATGCTCACGTATCCTTCACTGCTGCCTTGCCTTCCATCACGCCTGCTGCTTCCTGCAAAATAATAACAACACACTCTTTTTCAGAAGCCGTTTTCAGGGAGTAATGAAAGCGTTGTGCATGGCGGATGTGGGACGAAAGTGGTGAACGGAAATGAGGGCTGACGGCTTACCGCGGAGTGGTGATGGAGGGCCAAGGCTATGGGGGTGCGCGAAGGGGTTGGCGGATGGATGACGCGAGGCGCGCGGAGAGCAGAAGCGGTGGAGCGGCGAGGAAGGCTGGCGACTGCGAGAGCCAACTTCAAAAGACGGTCCGCGATTCTCGAAAATCGCTTAAATGCCTGAAATCACATGGAACGGGAAACAGAGAAGAAAATGAGTGATGCGAACCGAAGATAAGTGAAAAGTATTTCTGCGACGGTCTAACGTAAATCGACATCAATAAGCAGAAAACTAGAGTGAGAGAGACGAATGGACGTACGATGAGGCTAAAGTCGCGATGCGGTCTTGGAGGCGACAAATGGCAACGCGTCGTCTCGTCAGCACGTACGCGATCGATCGAATCGAATGTGCAGCGTCGCGAGGAATTTCAGCAGCAGGTGACGACGAACGAAAGTCGCGATCTTGGAGGTGGAAAACCGAACAACACGTCCGCGATCGATCAACTAGAACGGCTTCGGCGTGCCTAATGTGACCACGAGACGAAAATGCCGCGACGATCGATTGACGCGCAGCTGAAACGGCCTCAAAAATGGCAACAAGCTTCGTTCGAAAATGCAACAGCAGCAGGTGACGAGGAATTGGAAATGCGCGCAGCACCAGGTGACGAGGAATTGGAAATGCGATGAGAATGAGAAGCGTAAACTAGCCGGTCTGAACGAGAACGGGGCGAAAGGGAGTTGCGAAATGTGGAGGGAGAGGTGGACGCAGCAGTTTGGGAGGGAGCGTGGCAAGGCGCAAGCGGGAGTTGAGTTCGCATGCCCAACTTGGACTGGACCCCTCCGTGGGTGCATAGCGTAGAAATCCGTTGCGACGAATATTTTCGAGCGCGAAAATGTGAAAAATCGAATGGGCTCGTCCGAGTCAGCAGCTCCTTTGCCACATGGCCGGTCGAAATCAACCCGGGGGGCATAATCGAGTGACGTGGGTTGCCTATCGACCCCAAACGCTGCCAACTAAGCTCATATTTTCCTTGGGGGGTCACTAAGCTGTCGTGTGGGTTGAAAGAGCGCGAAAGGAGGTGGCTCGAAGGGGTAATTCTCGCGGCGGGCCGAAGCGCAGCGGATAGTAGAGGCGAAATTAGGATGGGAAGGAATGGCTATGGCTGACTGGTGGTGGCAGATCTGGCGGGAGGGAGGCGTGGGCGTCTGAGTGTCAGTGGGAGCAGCGCTGCTGGAATACAGATCAGAGTCTCGCTGAGCGCTCAAGGCGATGAGCATTCGGAGCAAATTCAGCTCGGTGCCTCGAGGTACACTTCAGGCGATTCTTGTGAGTCTATCAGCGAAACCAGTACGCAGTGATTTGACTGGAATACTCTGCTCCAATGCCACTTGTATCAAAAATAGCTTTTAAAACGTGACGAGATACATAGTCACCCCCCAACTGCATCACACCACCACCACACTTTGTCACAGCTAAGGCACGAATTAAGTTGGTATACTCTTCACCACATTGGAGCACACTAGTGTGCATACAACCTCAAATACACAATGCTGCATAACACCACGTGGAACCACAGTTCACTGTAACCAACCTTACTTACCAGTACTACCTGTACAGCACTTATGAGATTTAACTGCACTGACCAGGTACAGTGTGGAGCCCACACACACACCCTACCCTAGCTTGACCTTAGCTATGCTCGACATTATGACCAGCCCTTGTTTGAAGCAGCATAGTCGTAGTTAGTTGTCGACTGAGGATCCGTAATGACTAGCTATCTTGTATCACGCCATCCCAGTCAGACTGGCTTTCAAACTTCCATCTTCCTGAAAAAAAAAAAAAAAAAAAAAAAAAAAACCAAAAAGGGCGAGAAGCTTCAAATAGCAACCAGCAACAATGGTTGGAATCCTACAGGAAAGTGGACTTGAGGGATTGGGGCTAGTTTACCTCATCAGACAAGTCAGCGCACACTCTGAAGATAGTGGCTAGCGGTTTGCTGCAGACGTCCTTCATGCCTCCAAACATTTGGGTAAGAAAGTCTTGACGAAGCGTGGAAGCATGGGGATTAGAAGCCCGAGCTTCAAACGAGGTTTTCAGTTGCGATGACAAGTGGAATGGCGAGGAGTGGAGTGGCAGGATCTTGTCACAAAGGTTATGCTCAAGCAGATCTCTTGGGCCAACTGCAAAAAGTCCAAGAATAATCAGAAAAAAAAAACAAGCTGTTGGCCGGTTGCCTCTCCAATTCGAACATTATCAAACGAAGAAACTGTGTCCATACCGCAGTCCTCCAGCTTGTGCTCGACGAAGTAGTAGACCAGAGGTACAACGTACCTGGAAATGGACATACAAAGGAAGTTTCAGCGAAGAGAAAGACATAACAAACGAACATGCCAGTCCAGTATCTTGCCATTCTTACCATGCAATGACAACATCCACTGTGTAGTGCTTGCGTGAAGCAATTATCAAGACTGACATCACTCCAGACAATAACCATGACAGATGCTTGAATAAGCTGTAAAGGCATCAAATACGACACAGGGAAATCAGACGCAGGCTCACAGTATGTCATCAGAGACACGAAGTCATCCAGCACAGCACATCAAGAAACAGCGGTGAATGTAAGGACTCACAGATTGGTTCCATATCTGGAGTAGGTGATGACAACAGTGAGGATGAACGTCATGTGGGAGGAAAATATGAGGTCACCACACCCATGCATGGCTGCGGCAACCACAGGAGCAACAATACGATATTGAATTTCTACTCCATAGCTCAGAATACGCCTATAACAGTGCTCCGCCCACCATTAAGGTGCAGCACGTCCTGGATTCCAGTATATTTGAGGATTGCTGTGGGAGATCCCTGCACGTTAGTAAAGATCATGAGTGTTACAGGAAATGGCTCTGAAGGAGACGGAAAATGAATATTGATGCTAGCATACCTGTCTACAATGATGTGCGGGACCAGGTAGTTGTGTTGCCGTGAAGGACAGTACTCGAAAAGTCTGGCACATCTGTCAATGCACCCGATTAATCCACAGTAACCATCAGCAGTCACTATCAGACACACAGGCCAAGACAAGGAGACCTTAAGCTAACCTCTTACCACAAAAACCGTAAGAATTTTGCACCACACAAGCACAGTGTAAAATTGCTTCTTGGTGCACACGAAGGGATGGAATGTCCACTGAGACACCAAAAATGAAAGTCAGATGATACCAAAGGAGCACATCTTATCATGGGAAAGCCACGATACAGGAACACTTAGTATTAGCGAAAGCAATTGGACAGAGTCAGTGCAGTCCACTCCAAACGCCTTACAATGCAGCAAGGAACGAATATGGCGAAGAAGAGGTATTCACTGATGAAAAAATATTCAGGACCGATCTCCTGTCAAACAAGCACGTGAGTATTCAGTAACAAGCAGATTCAAGAAACGCCATGACAGAGCGAGATACGAAAGCAGTTTTCGCGCCCAGCAAAGGTTTACGAAGAAGGCGCTCACAGGGATAAGTTCGAACCCGACATCATGTAACGAAGGACGAGGAGTGTGGAGTAGGTGAGCTGTTCGAGTTAAGAAACCGTGAACGAACTGCAGTTGAGCAGAATCGCATGGTAAGTAGTGCCCTCATTTATAACCCAAGGTAACCAAGGAGTACAAAATACGTGCCTGAAAAAGGATACCAGATGCAATAAATGGCCACTTTTCCTTGAACAATGACCATTCAGCAGCCACCTCTAATCGTATTCGACGCCAGAGCTGCAAAAGATCAAAAGAGTGGCTTGTATTACCACATATATTCGACCAGGCAGTGCTGAGATGAAAGTTGATAAACTAGGGCCGTTTCCGCGACAAACGCTAGGGAACAGCTTGCCTTGCATAAGGTTCTGCTCGCAAACGAAGGGAACCCGTAAAACACCATCGCACCAATCGCATCTAGTAGGAACTGACGGTCGCTTCAGTGCATGTATACGCGAGACACTGAGCCAAACTTGAGCTCACGGCAAGTCTGGCACCAAGGAGCATACCTATAGGCGGAGGCCAACGTCGTCTTCAAATTCTGCTTGGAATCTAGAAACTCCAGCCTCCATAGAGGAAGCGATGAGAAAGTTCTGGGGGTGATGGTGAGAATGGTTCACAACAGCTGGTGAAGTTGGGAGGAAGCAGACATGCACGCGGTCCGGTAACCTAAACGACCATCCCAATGCCAGCATCCCAGACCCACGTCAAGTCGCCAGGCTGGTCTGACGTGGCATCGCAGATCTGGCTCTGGCGATCCGAATCGCGTGAAGTGCTGGTCAACTGAGCTTTCTGGCGCAGGTTATGGGTGGAACAGTGAACGATAATCAGTTAAGTCGTGCCTCAGAACGAAAACGTCACGGTTTCCGTTCGTGACTCCGTTTGTTGCTGACGTCGGCTCAGCTGGTCGCAGCAGCAGCTGGCCGAAGTTCCTAGTAGCCATCGGACCTGCGAGGCAAATTCGACACCCTCAAGGCTGACGCCAGCAGCACAACTCCGAGCTTGCTTCAGCTTGAATGCTGAACAAGAAGCGCCAGCTGAACAAAACACCGCGTACGCGTTTTCAAGAAACAAATTTGAGGCAATGTCGTATGAATAAGTATAAGGCACTGTACCTATTTGTTTATGCAAGTTTGACTTCACGACCTTGCATCACTCAGCTTGCATGTATCAGATGCTGTGGCCCCACGAATCCTTTCCATTCCTTCAACTCCTGGCCAGATTGCAAACCAAGCAAGATGCTGTGCTGCAATGGCTCCACTCCACGGTCCTCCTGTCAACAAGCCCATCTTGTTCATTCATGTGAAGTCGACGTAGTGTGCTCTAGGACTAACTTATTGTCGTCATCTACTAGTCCATGTCAGTGGGGATGAACAGCTTCAGCAGAAACTAACTTCCAATCTCTGTTGCCTGATGGCTCCGACGGTCGCATTGTCTGCTCCTCTTTCATACCTACGTGTATCCACATCCCGTGTCAGAGTTGCCGTTCGAGCCTCCGTTAGACATTCAAGCCACGGCTCAAGCAAGAAGCTACACATTTCCCGAATTCCAGCACCTGTAGATGCGCGAATCTCGCCTATCAGGCATCGGCCGTCGCCGCTGTCAATATGCAGGTCGAGGAATTTCGACGACATCGCAGAGCCTTTGAGTCCCGAATTGAGCGATGCACCGACCGACCACCCCGCACCGCCTCCTGACGCGACGACACCAGACCAGCAAGCCGGAGATGTGTCTGGAGCAGCGGAATTACAGCATTCGGACATCAGTAACCATGGAGCTCCCATGCCAGAAGCCAACCAGCCGTCTGCCGGCGGTACTGAGCGTCATGACATACCTCACAGCAATGTCTCGTCGCAGTCGGTCGCAATTCACGAAAGCTCGCTCGAGTCGTCGCAGTCTTCGCAATCATCGCTGGCGAACGACTGGTCCTCCGCGCATCAGTCCGATCCACCGCGAGAAACTGCATTGTATAGAGCAGGTACCTTCGCAAATCGTTCAGAGGACCCAATAACCCCGCGATCCGCGAGCGTAACAAACTTCAGTACCCCATCTGCTGCGAATACAGGCATTACATCTGATGGCGGAATCAACGGCGAGCAGTCACATCCTGGCGCATCTGCCGCGTCGAGCAGCAGCGGTGGAGAGAAGAGCCTTGCCGAGGCGGAAGCATCGGTCGCAGGGACGAGCGAAGCAGCGACGATTGCGACAGTGCCTGGTGAAGCGGCAGCGGTAGTGAGAGCCGCAATTGATAAGGTGGAAGTGGGAGCTGCGGATGGTGTACCGGGTGGGGAAGGCGTGGGGGTTCAGCTGCAACAGGCGCAGGGGCAGCTGCAGGCGCAGCTTCAGGAGCAGTTGCAGTCGCTGGAGAACCTGCTGTCGCTGCTCGGATTAGGCGTCGCTTCTGCTGCGAATTCGCGGGGCTCTGCGGAGCCGGGGGAAGAATGGGGGGATGGTGGAAGCGGAACGGCGGATTGGGGTGGTGGACGAGAGGAGCGCGCGCGTCGGAAAAGAGAGGAGCTGGCCATGGCGCGTGCAGCGAGCAGGCTAAAGCGGAAAAATATTGGAAAGATGGACTATGATGCGCGTAACAATGGACCTGGCAGTGGCGGCAGCAGTGGCGCCATGGGTGACAGTGGCTGGAGCGACAGTAGCAGTGACAAAGATGCGGCATTAGGGTTCACTGGCACAGGGAGTCAGCCGTTATCGAGTCGTCCCTTAGAGAATCGAAGTAAGCAGTACCAAGACGATCCTGCTAGTCATCAATCTTCCCCCCTCGCGTCTCCCACCTCTAGCGTTTCTTCGTCCGCCTCTTCCTCGTTCGCGTCCCCCACGGGCGCGGAAGCAGGGGGCGCGGAGCGGAAGGTTCTAGAGCGCGCGGTGGTGGAGATGGCGCTGCTGCAGGAGGTATCGCGCGGGGGAATCGAGGGCTCGACTCTGGAGGAAGAGTGGGGGGAGCTGCGCCAGGCCGTCAGCCAGGACCCGCAGCTCTCGCGACTCTATAACGAGTACGCGCGCGACGCGCTTCTGGCGCGGGAGGAGCGGCGGCGGCTGGAAGCGGGCGGGGGGAGGTGGAAGGTGGACGCGCGGGGGAGGAGGATCAGGAAGCGGAGACGGGGACGGAAGGCGGAGGCGGAAGGGGAGGAGGGGATGAGCAGCAAGGCGCGGACGGAGGAGAGGCTGCGGCGGTGGAGGGCGGGGGTGGTGGCGGCGGCGACGCAGAGCACAGTGGTGGAGGTGGCGACGATGGTGGTGCTCACTGTGCTGCCCATTGCGGCGGGCGCGTATGTGTATGTGAACGTGCAGGAGTGGCTCAAGGCCGTGGCACCTCAACCTGCTGTCGTGGAGAAGGAACCCTGGTGAGACTGGGAGGTGGGGTGAGGCTGGAAGGGGTGTGATGAGGCTGGCAGAGGTTTGAGAATCTGTTTTAGGGTGTGAGTAGCAGTCATAAGGTGTCAAGGTGATTATGATAAACAGCAGCGTTCCCACTCCTGCCGCTTGATATTTCTGCGGATCTCTCTGCCACCTGTTCATCTTGTCCCGAAACGCCCATGTTCCTCCTGCGCATGCCACCAGGTGGATGCTGTTCGGCCCAGCGGCCAGTGCAGCGGGCACGGTGTTTGGCATGGCAGGGCTGGGCTTCGCAGCCAAGACAGCAGCAGCGGCGCCAGTGGCCGTGGCAGTGGTGCCGCAGATGGACGCCCTCTGGCGCTCCTTTGGAGGCGCTAGCCTGGTGCGCTCACTCTTCGTCTCACGTTCCATCCCTTCCCCACCATTGCTTGTCAAGTCGATTGAGATTTCTCAAAACGGAGTCCAGCCTTGTTCTTTCACTCTTTCAGTGCTTTTGTGAGACGCTTGAGTGGCCTTCAGAGGGTCGCCCCGTTCCCACCTGCTTCCCCCTTCTCACTGTGTGGCCTCTGGCCGCTTGCAGGTGGCGCTGTACTGGCGCACGCTGGTGTTTGGCAAGACCTTCCGCAGCATAGAGTGGGACCTGGAGGCATACGATGCGCCCAACGGCAACATGAAGTCCATCACCATCCGCGTGCCCTCCCTCGTCAGTCTCACACCTCCACTTCTCACCACTCCACTACCGGAACAATGCCTTGATATCCAATGCTTCCTGGGTGAACGCAGAACCAAAGAAGCAATTATGAGTGCCCGCCATCTCAAATCCTCCCCATGTTTCTGTCAGTACAGCTGTGAAAGCAGAGGCAAATGCTTCTTGCAGTTCTTCCACCACTTTCCCTGTGCCTCACCCGTCTCCACCCTCCCTGCGACTCTTCCCCTCTGGTCTGGCAGAACGCAGTGCGCACCAAGATAGCGTTGGCGAACGGGCTTGCGGGCGCCAGTGAGGTGCAGCAGCTGGCGCTCTGGATCCCCAACTCGGGGGACTTTGTGGTCAGTGCCTCTCTGCACCACCTCCCACCCAGCTCCACACATTGTGTTGCATCAGCCCCTTTGCTTGTCTCCTTCACTGTATGTATGTTCCTACCACTCTGTCTCCAGCTTGCCTAGGACCCCTGCTTGCGCTCCCTGCTCCCTTGCTGCCCCATGCCGTCTCTCCCGCCCACCTGGCCAAGGAAGTGACTCTCATTCTTGACAACTCTCAACAATGTCTCAAATGTTGTTGTCCCTCCCGCCCCCAGGAGCCCCTGCGGCTGGCCAAGGACCTGGCGCTGATCCCGGACTTTGGCTTTGTCATCTGGTCGCGCACCCCCGCCTCCCTGCACTGCCTGCCCTCCCGCGCTGCCAAGACCATGCCCTCGCCCACTGCAGCAGCAGGCTCAGCTGGCGCAGCTGGGGGCGGAGGTAGCAAGGCCACAGCGGCTGGTGCTGCTGTGGGAGGGAAGACTGGTGGTAGCGACAGTGAGGCCGCGAGTGTAGGTGGCAGCATCGGCAGTAGCGGCAGCTCCAGCAGCAACAGTAGCAGTGGAAGTGATGGAAACATTGGTAGCAGGAGTAGTTGGGTTGATCTAGGAGTTGGGGGCATAGGAGATGATTTTGTGTGGGGCGAGCGTAACGGTGGCAGCAGTGGCTGGGCACAGCAGAGTGAGGCGGCAGCAGTGCCAGCTGCAGGAAATGGAGGCATGCAGGGTTCAGCGCAGCGGATGGTGCAAGGCCAAGTGGCATCCAATGGTGCTGTGGCTGCTGCAGGAGTGGCGAGCCCAGAAATGCCAGGACTGATTTCACCATCTGTGGGACGCAGTCCACCAGCAGCAGCAGCAGCAGCAGCAGCACCAACTGCTGCAGCACAATCACGAGAAATAGTGCCAACTGCTGCAAGTGCACCACTTGCAACAGCACAACCACCATCGGCATCACCATTACCACCACCAGCAGCACCGCCACAACCAGCAGCAGCACCACCAGCAGCAGCCACATCCGTCCAGTCAATGGGGACGAGTCCAGGCACATCAACACGTGCTTCTGCTGCTGGTGATAGCAGCTGGCGTGACAATAGGGAGAGGCAGGGAGGAGAGGGAATGAGTGACGCTGACATCGCTGTTGCCATGATCCAGGTCATAGTCGCCACCCCTGCAACACTGTCTGTGACCTCTCCTCCTCGTTCAAATGCCGCTTCCTCCTCTTCCCCGTTGTTAGCTGACCCAGCACAGCCACAAGCATCTCTAGCAACAACAGCAGCAGCAGCAGCAGCAGCAGCAGCAGCAGCAGCAGCAGCAGCAGCAGCAGCAGCAGCAGCACCAGGTTCAGCACCCAAAGGTAGCAATGTAGCAACGTCAGACCCAGTTGCAGATGGGCCCTGCAACGGCAGCGTTCACACTCTTGAGTTGGCTAATCAGCTGCCATTCACAGCAAACCCAGTGGAAGCTGGTCCTTCCCGCCTCTTACCATCCAGTGAAATGGAGGGGACAGGAAGAAGGGGCGAAGGGATGGAACCAGGAGAAACTCGGCAGGAGAGAAGTGGAGAGGACGAGAGGAGGGCGAAATCGCGGGTGTTGGTGATGTCTGAAGACGAACAGGATGAGTTGATTGAACGGGCAGCTCAGTGCGACCCCGTGTTGATTGTTCTCTTTAGAGCCTTGTCACATGATCCCCAAAGGTTCCTGCGGCATGCATTGTATCACGTTAGAAAATGAGTTTGCATGCGTTTGTACAGGGTTTAGGTTTGTCATCTGGGCATTTGTTAAAGTATCATGTATGCAATTTCATATGTACAGGTGGGTATGCTTGGTGCTGGCTCATCCAGTATATATTTCATCCGATGGATGCAATATGCTACCATCACATTGGTTGTAAGATGAGGTGTAGAGAAGTGAAAGGCACTGACGAGGACCTGCTGTTCTCGATTCCACCACCATGTTTTCCCCTTCTCGCTCCGCTCCATTCATCTTTCGCCGCTGGACATCCTCCAACAGCGTCTCTTGCGCTGGGATATCAGGAGAGCCTCTCTCGTTGCTTTTCCTTATCCCAGTCACTGCTACGTGTTTGCTGGAATATACGCAGCGAAGATCACTTGGCTATAGTTCGCGGTGAAATTGGAGTGGCAACTGCAGTCTCTGCGTGCTCCTTGTCTAGCTGACCAAGGAGAACTAGGGTTTTGAGAAAGAACTTGAGCAGTCCCATTTCTTTTTCTTCTTCTAGTTTCGTCACTAAAGATATGGCGGCAATAGATCAGACCGAGACAGAGACGAACACAACAGCGGCGGAGAACACAGAGGCAGGCGCAGCGGCGAAGGAGAGCGAAGCGCTGGTGAAGCATCCGCTGGAGCACCGCTGGACGCTCTGGTTCGACAATCCACAACAACGCGGGAAAAGCGGCGGCTCGTGGGGAAGCTCGCTCCGCGTAATCTTCACGTTCGGGACCGTTGAAGACTTCTGGTGGTGCGTGGCCAAACTCACGTCCTTCTGTTGAGATGTCTTCAAGCAATTTATTTCAAACGATTTGTTTCCTGGTGGTTCGACTCTTAAAGAAGTGCTCAAACCCTAAACGCCGTTACGTGATCCTTGTGACCCCAAGATTCCCATCGCCAATTCTCGTTTATGCTGCCTTGCCGGTTTTTTAATTATTGTTTTTCGGGCAGTTTATACAACAACATAGTGCAGCCGAGCAAGCTGATGAACAAGGCGGACATGCACCTGTTCAAGGAGGGCATTCAACCCAAGTGGGAGGACCCTAAGTGCGAGAAGGGCGGCTCCTGGACCATCCCCTGCTCGCGCAGCAAGGAGTACCTCGATAACATGTGGCTGCACCTGGTGAGAGCATACCTTATTGCCCCCCCCTTGACCCCCCCTCTTCCCCCACAAACCCGCCCCCTTGACAATTTGGTTATGCCTTGGCTGACTAGCAGTAGAGAGCAAGCAGTAGAGTCTCGCCTTGTCCGTCTATGTTACCATGCGCGACTAGTCTCGATGCGTGATGACCTCCTACGCCGTACAATATCTTTCCTTCGTCCCATGATTGCCTTTCCGATCATTAAATCCTTCTGCCACCACCAATGTGCTGCAATGCAGATGCTGGCGATGATAGGCGAGCAGATCGACGAGGGCAACGACATCTGTGGCGCCGTGGTGAGCATCCGACCAAACAAGGACAGAGTGGCGCTCTGGACTAAATCCGCTGCCAGCGAATCCATCCAGGTGCGCCTCAACCTTCCATGCCATGCTTGCACTGCAGCTTCGGTTCCACTGCTGTGGGCTTTCAACCCTGGATGTGATAATTGTTCTGAGAGTTCTGGCGATCTTGTATTTTTCTCTGATCCTGGGTGCAGACGAGCATTGGCAAGCAACTGAAGGAGATTCTTGGCATCACGGAGCAGATCGGGTTCTCCTCTTTTGTAAGTTTGGCGTGCGGTCTATGAGAACGTTGCTGCTCGTTTACTTGGTGCTTCTGCTGGTGCATGACAATTTTAGTAGCACAAATGCCTTGTGTTTTCTTTCTGACGCATTATCTTTGCCTGTGCAGGCGGACCAGAAAGGGTCAAGGTCTGCCTCGGATAAGTACTCAGTCTAGCGTTGCACACTAGCTAGCTTGTCTCCATGTCACTGTATCACCTGCTTCGTTCAAAATTGCACAAAGCTCGTGGGGTTTCCAGTTACGGTAGTTGTACATGTCTGTGATTGGTCAACTAGCAGCAAAAGCACTGGCTACCACAAAGCTTTATGCACAGGGGCATATACCTCCTTTCAGTTGTCACCCTAAAGGCATCTGTACTTTCCATTTACCGGCAGTTCCATTTAGCTAGTAAAGGTCTTTATAAACTAGTACCTACATGCGTCAGGTGAAATTGTTGCTATGAGAGTTGAAGCGGAGGCTACCAAGTAGAGGATTCCGAAAGGCTCACAACTTCGAGGCCCCTCTAGATCGCAAGAGCAGAGTTGTCTGTTCGTCCATTCCGTAGTTTCCACCATTCACCACCGCCGTCACCGACTAAATACTTCGTAGTTTCTAGGTGGTGATGTCTGTTGCTGTCGGCAACTGCATCGTGTTGCTGCTAGGTTGAGCGGATTACTGCTTCGAACATCTAGATCCCGATTTATTTCAAGTTATCAGTAAGAGCCATGGCGAAGCAGTCGTCGTCGGAGTCGGGCTCCGACTCCAAGTCAAAGTCAAAGTCAAAGTCAAAGTCCAAGTCGCCCTCGTCGTCCTACTCAGGCTCGTCTCGCTCGCGCTCCTCCGCGTCGCCCTCTCGCTCCGATTCAGCCTCGTCTAGAAGCCGCAGCCCGCCGCCTAAGAAAGGGTGCGTTCACCCTTAGATCGCCGCACAGTTTCTATAAATTTACGTCTCTTAATCCCGGTTATTTTGGTGGCCGTTGATTGCTAGACACGCCCTCTTCATTATCCTCTATCCCTTTACCAGATCGTTAAGCGTAGCGTGTTTTGTTCAGCTTCACTTAGGGAGGCTGGAATTGGGTATTTGGGTGGGTCACGGTGTCTGATTACCACGTGTGTGCGATCGTGTGTCCTGCGCGCGCGAATTGTTGTCGTGCAGTGCGAGGCCGGCGACAGAATCGCAAAAGAAGAAGCGAAGCCCGTCGCCCAATGACAGGTGTGTTGGCATAGCCCGCTTGCGCTCCTTGAGATTCCTCGCGCTCGTTCAGTCCCGTTGCGCGCGTCGTCGCCCCCTAGGTTCTCGACACATGCAATGCGTTCCTCCTTCCCGCTCATGCGCATGCAACGCCCCACCCATCCCCCCACCCATCCCCGCACCCATCCCCCCACCCATCCCCGCGCCCATCCCCGCGCCCATCCCCGCGCCGATCCCGCCGTGGCGGCAGGAAGCGGTCGGCGACGCCCGAGACGACGATGCTGTACGTGGGGTGCCTCACGCGCAACGTCAACCAGGACCACCTGCGCGAGATATTCGGTGAGCCCGCGCCACCACCAACCCCTCTCAGATATCGTTACCCACATCGTGCAGTTACGCATCTCGTCCGGGTAAACCCGTGTCATCGTACATCGACCGGGGCTCTCCTGACCCCTGTCGTACGGCCCTCTAACACTCCTGACCGCTGTCTGTGTGCGTATGCGCGAGCGTGCAGGGCTGTACGGCGAGCTAAGCAAAGTCGAGATCGCCATGGACCGCGTCGTGAGTCGCTCGCACTCGCCTTCTCCCCGCCGCTTTCTCTCCCTCTCCTTCTTCCCCCATCCCTGCCTCCTCCTTCGCCGCCTTTTCCTTCCGCGTTCCTTCTCTCTCCCGTGCGTGATGTCTCTCTGCCGCCTCTGCCCCTTCCCGTTCTCACCTCCACAACGCCTCTCGCGTGTCGGCCGCCATCCCTTCCGCGTCGTGTCTGGTCGCAGGTGAACCTACCCAAGGGCTACGGGTACGTGGAGTTCAAGAAGCGCGCCGATGCGGAGAAGGCGCGCCTGCACATGGATGGGGTGAGTCGCCATGCTCCTTGCATTTCGCCATGGATGTTTTCCATCCTTCTGCAACTGCCCATGCCCTCTCATCCCTTCCTATCCCCCATTATCCTTTCACATCCATCCTGATTCTTTCCTGTCCCTTCTCCCTCTTTTCCCCTCCCTCCTCTTCCCCCCCTCCCGCCCACCACCCACCACCCCCCGCGCATCCCCCCCAGGCGCAGATCGACGGCAGTGTGGTGAGCGCGCAGTTCGTGCTCGCGCCAAAGCCCGTGCGCCGCCCAGAGCCGCTCCCCCCGCCGCCGCCCCCCCCTCGCCGCGCCATCGACTCCCCTCCGCGCCGCCGCGCGGACGTGAGGGACCGCGACAGGCCGAGCGACAGGGACAGGGGGGAGCGCGGGGACAGGGGGGCGGAGGCGGAGCGGGGCAGGGAGGGCGAGCGGGGGGGCAGGGGGGTGTCGCCGCGGCGGAGGTCCCCTGCGCGAGCAGGTGGCGCAAGGGGAAGGTCGCCGTCCCCGCCCCGAGGGGGAAGGAGGCGCTCGCCCGTGCGGTAGGTTGGGGGGGGGGAGGGGGGGTCGGGGTAACGTGATACAGCGGGGATGGCAGTTTTTGAGTGGGTGGGGATGGGGGGGAATGGCGTGCGTTTGGTTGGCGGGTGAACAATGGAGCTTGGATCACTCAGTGTGTTTCCCCCCCTGCAACTCCTGCTCCCCGTGCTTGTGTTGCGCCTTGCTTTCCGCCTCTCCCCGCCCAACAGCTCCCCCCCTCGCAGGCAGCGCAGTGTCTCTCCCCCTCGCCGTGTGAGAAGCCCTCCCAGACGCCGCTCCCCTGTCCCCTTCCGCGGCCGCAGGTACCGCCCTCCCCCCTCTCCCCATCCTCCCACCCACCCCCCCTCCCCACCACACACTCCCCACCCTCCCTACCGTCCCACCCCACGCACCCGTCTTACCCTTCTCTCCCTCCCACTTTTTCCACCCTCCCGCCCCACCGCACATCCCACCCCCTCCGCAACCTCCTCACATTGCTCACCCACCTTCTACGCTTTACCCTCCTTGACCTACGTGCTGTATTCTCTTCGCCCCATTTTTGAAGCCCCACCAACCCCTACCCCTACTATGCCTCCTGCCATCCAATTCCTCCTCTTTCTTCCACTTCCGCCCCTCCTTTCCGGTTCTCCTCTTGTTCCTGTTATCCATGCATGCGCGCTTTCACCCACTCACCCACACACTCACATCCACGTCACTCCCTCATCTGCTCCTCCCCTTTCCGCCTTTCCCCCCACTTCCCCCATCCCAGGTCGCCACCCCCTCGCCGCCGCTCCTCCCCGGAGCGGCGGCCCTCCCCCCCTCGCCGCTCGCCCCCTGCGCGTCGCTCCAGCCCAGGCCCCATGCGCCGCCGCTCCCGCTCGCGCACGCGCTCACGCTCCCCACCCTCTCGGCGCCAGCGCCTGCCCCCCCCACCGCCCGCCCGCAGGTTAGCTTCTCCACTCCACCGTCCAACTCTTCCACTCTTGTGCTCCCCCTCCCCACCTCTTTCCCCTTCCCAGTCCCTTCTTTTTTGGCATCATCCCATTTGCGCGGTCCCTTGTCTCCTCTCTCCCTGTCCTTCCGCCTATATCCTCGATCCATTTGTGTGATTGCGTCCCGCACCCTCGGTCGTCCCCCCCGTCCTTCCCCTGACCCTCGGTTTCTCCCCATGCCTGGTCGCCCTCCGTGTCTTCGTGTCCCCCGTGCAGGCCGGATCGTTCCCCTCCCCCCAAGAGGGCGCGCTCGGAGTCGCCCTCGTCCTCCTCCGCCACATCCTCGTCTGACGGCGACCGGCGCAGGGTGAGTCAAAGGGGGAAAGAAGGGGGAAGGAGAAGCATCTTGCTGGGGCGTGGGGTGGGAGTGTTGCAGCAGTGCATGTGGGGGGGGGATGGGTGAGATGGTTGGGCTGGGCGAAAATTGGCTGTTGTGTGCTGTGTAGGCCGTGATTACCTTGGGTTTTGGACACGATGGGTGCATGGGGTTGTGCTACATACAGCCGACGGGCGTGGATGTTGCACATTGGTGGGTTCTCGACTGGACTGCTCACCGCATTCCTCCCCTCATCATTTCCGTTCCTCCCACCCCCTTTCACCACCCCTTCCCCTGTGAGCAGAGGTCGCCCCCTCGCAAGCGGCCAGCCAAGAGCAGCCCCAGCAGGTGAGCCGTGAGTGAGGGTCTCTGGACACAGCAGCTCAAGAGCAGAGGAGAGAGGGCGAAGCTGCTTGGGGGCTTTCTGGGCAAGGGGAGAGGTTGCAGTTGGGGTGAGAGCTAGATGGGCGCAGAGAGGAGCGGTTGGATCTGGAGTTCAGCTCTGTTGGTGCGATGTTCATATGAAACCGAATCACGGCATGTTGCCATGGCACACGCCATGCGATGAGCTCATGCCATGCAAGCATATGTCAAGCTGTTGGCCTAAATCATGCTTTGCTGTCCATGATGCAGCGGCCCCATGCCATGAACCAATGGGCTGGGCCACGGCTTTTCCTTCCCTCCGTTCCCCCAGCTATGAGTTCATCACGCACATCTGGCATCGCTCTCTCCTGAAACCGCATGTGGCTAGCCAGTGCCATTCACCGACTGGCCATGGCCCATACCTTCGGCCTTTCCCCTTTTCTCCCCTCACCTTCCTACTTGCTCTTTGGAAATTGCATGGAAGATTTGAACCTCTAACACATGCCAGCTCTTCAACCCTTAAACGCTTCCCCCTCTTCCCCCCCCCCCGCCCCCCTCCGCCCTGAACAACCACATGACGCCATGGCAGGTCCAACTCCTCTCGCAGCTCCAGTGACTCGGATTGATTTGCTTTCACGCACGTGTTGTTAGGGTGAGTTCAGGGAGGGGATAGGATAGGAACGAGGGGGTGGGAGCGGGGGAAGGGAGAAAGGAAAGGAAAGAGTGGGTAGAGCGGAAAGGGGAGGGTAGCGAGTGGAATGGCCGGGGAGGGAGGAATGCATGTCGTTTTAGGGAGTGTTTCTTTTTTGCAGGGAGTGCATTGACAGCTTTTGTTTGTGTCCCCACATGCTTCTCCAGCCAATTGTGAATCCTCTCCTCTCCCCCTTACCTCCGTTTCCCGCCGTCGCAGGCTGATGCTGCCATTGCACTGCTCCCTGCCTTGCCATGTCATGCCATTTGTCAGTGGTTGGTTGGTACCATGTGTCTGCATGTCTGTCAGCCTGTGCTGCATGTGTCTCTTGCACCATCATTGCTGCATCTCCATTCCTCTGCACCATGTGAAAGTTGCTTTCACATGCATGGCATCACCAACTTTCGCATTCCAGGTTTGCATGTCATGCGCCCTCATCAACACACATTCAAGAACCACCACCCTTTGCTTGCACGTTTGTCAGTTGCTCTAATCATCAGCATCACCCTCCACTTTCATGGATTGCTGTTACCATGTGACTATCCCATCACCTGTCGCACTTCCTAACCACTTGACGACCACAGCCCTCATCTTTGCTCCTACCTCACCGCCGTGCCTGCCTACTCTCCGTTTGTGCTATTTGGTGGCTGGCCTACCGTAGGTTCTAAATTACACCTTTTTCTCTCCAGGCTTCCATTTGTGACCATACTACCGTAGAAGCAATGAATTACCAGTAGTTCAAATAGACCTAGACTTTCGTAGGTCCTCTTTGTGAATCCACTGAAGCTAAACATTCTGTGCCGTTTTGTCACTACTGCTTCCACCTCGATCTTTCTTGAGGATGCACCCAGAGGTGAGGTGAGGAATCCACTACAGCCTACGTAGTCACTGTGCGTTGAATGTCATTCTCACGCTGTTGGAAGCACCTGTCGGGCACATCAATCAAAGTACCATTAGTACCACTCTGACTAGCATCCTACTTAGTATTGAAGGCATACATGATTGAACTATACCAGCCCAATCTTCCTGTGTGCAACAAGTGTTTCAAGAGCATGAAGGGGGTTTATTCATGAAACTATACAGGCGTGGGGTGATTGGCAGAACGTGTGTGATTCGACCTTTTAGCGTGGAGATTCTACATGCCCTCGTGGCACAGCATGGCACGTGACACTACCTTTTCGCGGTGTCGTCCAACAGGGATTAGTCTTCCGCCCTATCAGCAGCCACTCGGTATCGGATGAGGCTGAAACTGCGAATTCATTGGTTACATTTGTGCGTTGCGGAGTCAGCCAGCAGGAATGTTCTGCCAGCGCAGCACACAATACTGTCACACTCGCAGGTGAAGGGCAATGGTGAGCCCCTAACGGGCGTGTTTTTGACTGTTGAAACTGACGACGTAACGAAAAACGATGAATTTCACCAAGCATCCAGAGCACTGTGAATGTTTCGTCTGCCCTTCCTGTGAATTTTGTTGCTTGGAGCCAATCAAGCTCCCCAATATCCAACTTGACCCGGACAAATAAACCCAACAAGCCCGTTCCGTCAAGTAGCCGTGACGAGAAACCTCCCGGCGTCGGTGCTCCGTCCGCCCTATCCTCATCCTCCCCACGCTCCTCTCTCCCGCTGTCGCCCTTATACCTCGGATTCCCCTTGCTCTGCGACGTGCCCAAGGAAAGGAACTCTCCTCTCCTCTCCTCTGCTGGCACCACTGCCACTCCCAATAAACACCAGTGCGAAGGAGCTCACTAGTAGACCTGAGTCTTCGGCTCTGTGTGAACCTGACTTTATACTAGCGCTAAGCAGCTTCCTTTCCCTCTCTGGTTATTGGTATTTAAAAACCAGGTCAACCTGTCGAAACTATCTTTTGTGGTGTGCGAGTTTCTTGATTTGAAAACGCTTGTATAAGGCCAATTCTGCTAGCTGCATGACGCTTATTCATCTATACCGGAAGTACAAGCGGTGGAACCCAGTGCACCCGACGCTCGGGGCTTTCTGGGGCTTCGGCGTGGGCTTGGGGTGCGGCGTGGGATGGGGTCCGGGGTTCGGTCCGGAGGTGGTGGGATACGTGGGTGCGGGCTGCGGCGTGGGCTTTAACATTGGCCTCACGCTTATCGGCGTCGGGATTGGCCTTCCCGCCAGCGATTTGGCAAGATTGCCGTGCGATGGTACGTCGAGCAAAATTGAGGCATTTGACTAAGTTCCATTTTCCTCTGATTCTACAATTGCACTTCATTTCTTCCGTAATTTCTGCCGTCTTACATCTTCCATTCTTTCTCTCATCGCAGCCGCTTTCTACGCGGGCGACAAAGCCGTCAAGTTCGCCGGCGGGACGGTGGTTCCCGCGCTGGACGTGGCGGCGAGGAGCGGGTGGCAGCACGCGGTGAACGGCACGTCGTCGTGGCGGCAGTCGCTCAAGCAATGGGGGCCGCGCGTGGAGCTTGAGAACAAGTGGCAGCAGGGCAATATGGCGTTCCAGGATTTCTGGAGGGCCGCTGCGTCCACCGTGCTGGCCACTCACACCGTCGAACGCGCCATCCTGCGCAGATAACGACGACTAACCCGGCGGGAATCGCGGGGAGAATGCAAATGCGGAACGAATGGTCAAGCGGATTCGTGAAGGTTGGAGAAAGAGGTGTCCTGCTGCAAGGCAGACTGACTAAAGCAGCGCCGACAAGGGCAACGACCGCTGCAGACCAGCAACGGCAAGGCTGAATCCGTACGCACGAGCATCACAGGCACAAGCTCAGGCACAGGGGCAACCAGCATGCGTTCTCCCCTTGATTTCGTTTGATTTGATTTTATCAGTTGCCCTTACCCCAGTTTCCTTCCAACCGGATGTATTTCATGCTTCTGGTAGCTCCTGGCTGCGCCTAACTGTGATGCTTTGCTTGTGTATAATTGTCAAATGTTGTAGCCTATAGTGAGGTTTGTCTTAGGGGGTACAAAACTTAGGGTTAGCTATATGTACCCCAACCAACATCAATGCATCATCCATTCTTCATTTTGACATGGTATCAGTTAGGTTAGGATCCTGTGGGATCCCGTTCCTCCGTTCTCCGTTCGAGCCTCCCGAGCCTGATCCTAGCTCTCATTCGTCCCGGTTCCGTTGTTACCGCGCGTAGTGCCGCGCCTAGCGCCACTCCTAGCGTCGCGTCCTGCCCGCCCTTTCCCCCTCGTCGCGTCCCTTTCCCCCCGTCGCGTCGCGCCCTTTCCCCCCAGTCGAGTCGCGCCCTTTTCCCCCCGTCGCGTCGCGCTCTTTCCCCCCGTCGCGTCGCGCCCTTTCCCCCCGTCGCGTCGCGCCCTTTCCCCCCGTCACGTCGCCCTGCCCCGTCCCGTCGCCCTGCCCCGTCGCGTCGCCCTGCCCCGTCGCGTCGCCCTTCCCCGTCCCGTCGCCCTGCCCCGTCGCGTCGCCCTGCCCCGTCGCGTCGCCCTTCCCCGTCCCGTCGCCCTGCCCCGTCGCGTCGCCCTGCCCCGTCGCGTCGCCCTGCCCCGTCGCATCGCGCCCGCCCTTTCCCCCGTCCCGTCGACCCTACGCCCTGGCCCGTCGCCCTAGCCCGTTCTTCCGCTGCGACTAAGTCCCCCCCCCCTCACCTGAACCCTAATTTGCCTCTTACCTCCTGCTGTTACTCGCCTGCTCGTTCGCGTTAGTTCTCGCTATGGCGACTCCGCGAGTTCTTCGTTTCGACGCTGACGGTAGACCTCTTGACTTTTCCGTCTGGCTTCTTCGCGCTCGCCGTCTGTTAGAGAGTCAAGTCCAGGGGGGCGAGACCCTCTGGTCGCACGCTACTGGTGACCTCCCCGAGCCCCCCGAGCCTGCCGCTTTAGGTCCTGCCCCTGACGATGCTGCTACGGCTCGCTTTGCCCGTCAGCGCGCTGACAGGACGGCTTGGACGTCGCGTGACGCTGCGGCCTGCATCGCACTCAGCAGCCTCCTCCCTGAGTCAGAGGAGGTCCACTTCACTCAGGTTCGCACCGCTGCTGCGTACCTCACTGCGATTAAGGCCCGCTACTCTACTCCCGCTACTGTCTCTCTTGGCCGTCTTTTCCTCCCGTTCCTGTTTCCTGATCTCGCCTCGTTTGAGCGCTCTGCTGACTTGATCGCTCACCTCCGCTCGCTCGACGCTAGTTACCGCGCTGCTTGCACTGAGGCACAGCTTGCACTGCTTCCTCCCCCTATGGCGATTACTATCTATTTCATCGCCACTAGCCTCCCTGACCGCCTTGCCTCCGTTCGCGACGCGCTTCTGCTGAAGCACCCTAGTGAGCTCACCGTCGATGTCCTTGAGTCTACACTCAAGGACGTCGAGAGCAACCTTCGCTCGGTAGCCGCTGCCTCTGGTGCTGTGCCCCCCCCACTCTTCCACGGGTGCACAGTCCCGCAGTTACCCACCTTTACTGCCTCACTTGCCACTGCCGCTACTGACGCGACTGCAGCTGCTGTTACGACTGCGTCGCGGTCCCGCGGTAGGAGTGGCAAGAAAGGCGGTTCTGGTGGTGGTAGTGGAGGTGGAGGCGGAGGTAGTGGAGGTGGCGTTGCGCCTGGCGGCGGTGGAGGTTCAGGGCCTGGAGAGGCGCCTCGTGCAGTGACTGGTGACTCCACTGCGCCTGCTAGTGGTGGCGACGCCCGAGTTCGTCAGTCGCCTCCTGTACTTCCTGCCCCGGTTGGTGGAGCAGCGGCGTGGTACCAGGCTCAGCGTCAGCAGCAGCTTCTGCAGCACCAGCAGCCCCTCTCCTCCCAGCAGCCTCAGCAGCAGCAGCTGGCTCCAGGGTCGGGGCTGCGTCAGACCCAGCGTGGTGCTGCTTACACTCCCTGCACCTACCAGGTTCTGACAGGCCCTCGTCGTGGCCACCCTTGTGGCCGGTTTCACCCCCCTGGTCAGTGCTTTGCTCAGCTCACTGACACGGTTCGTTTGGTCTACGGGGTTGGTGCTCCTGCCCCTGACTGGCTGCCTCTTGTTCAGCGCTACGGCTCCGCTCTGTGGGGCATGTCTGCTGAGCAGTTAGTTGATCTGATTGGTACTCCCCATGCTATGTATGCTGTTGTTGACTCTAGTGTTTCTGACTCTGCTTACTCTGGTGTTGTTAGCTTAGGTGCTAGCCTTGCTCAGTTGCCTGTTGCTAGTGTAGGTTCTTGTGTAGACTCTAGTCCAGCGGCTACCTCAGAGGACGGTTCGCTGTCGTTCACGCTGGACTCTGGAGCCTCTCACTGCTTCTTTCGTGACAGCACGACACTTACGCCTCTTCCTGCGCCTGTTTCTGTGGCGCTGGCTGATCCCACTTCGGGACCAGTCACCGCGCGTCACACTACCACCTTGCCGTGTCCGGCTGCTCCTTCTGGGTCTCTCACTGGGTTTCACGTCCCCTCGTTCTCCCGGAACTTGGTGGGCGTGCGACCCCTCGTGAGTCAGCACGTGGGTGTGTGGTTTGAGCCTTCTGGAGAGACTGCGGTGTGTGTTGACGGGGACTCTTACCAGCCCCTCGCCACTTTTGCTGCTGAGCCGGGCTCCGGTCTCTACACTCTTCACACTGGCCCGCGCGCTCAGCAGCGACTGCAGCAGCAGCAGCAGCCACTCCTCCCAGTTCCTGTCCCTCCCCCTAGTCTCCTCCCTGCGTCTCACCAGGTGGTTCCGTCCCCTCAGGTTGTCGCGTCCAGTCCAGTCGCTGCGTCTTGCTCCTGTCGGTCGCTTGCCCACCCCACCGTTCTGTGGCACCACCGGATGGGACACCCTTCTCTTCCACGTCTGCGTGCTATGTCTAGTCAGCGTCTGGTCTTAGGTCTCCCGCGTGTCTTGCCGTCGCTGCCGCCGTCCCTTGCACCACCGTGCGGTCCTTGCGTCGAGGGTAGGCTGCGTGCCACCCCTCACTCCTCCTCCCTTCGTCCGGCCACCGAGCCTTTTGAGACGCTGCACTTGGACGTCTGGGGCCCCTCTCCTCGCCCTGGCCCTGAGCGTGAGCGTTTCTTTTTGGTGGTCGTTGACGACTACTCCCGCTACACCACCGTGTTCCCCCTGGCGAGGAAGTCTGAGGTGACTTCTACGCTGATCAGGTGGTTGCTTACCACCCAGGACACTCGTGGTCGTCGTGTCAGCTGTCTCCACTCCGACCGCGGGGGCGAGTTTCGCTCCGGCATTCTCGCTGGATTCTGTCGCGAACAGGGCATTCGTCAGTCCTGGACGCTTCCGGAGTCCCCACAGCAGAATGGGGTTGCTGAGCGTCGCATAGGCCTGGTCATGGAGATTGCCCGCACCTCCTTGACTCACGCCCGTGCCCCCCATTTCCTGTGGCCATACGCAGTCAGGTACGCCGCGCACCAGCTGAACCTCTGGCCACGCGTCTCTCGGCCGGAGGCTTCACCGACCAGTCTTTGGACAGGGTCCCCTGGTGTCGCGTCGAGGTTTCGTGTCTGGGGGTGCTTGGCTCTTGTCCGCGACACCTTCGCGGACAAGCTCTCGCCTCGCGCCGTTCCTTGTGTCTTCCTTGGTTTCCCTGAGGACTCCTCTGACTTCACCTTTTACCACCCTCCCTCTCACCGGTTCTTTGACTCCCGTGACGTCCGTTTCGAGGAGTCCACCCCGTACTACGTCAGGTACCCCAGTCGAGGTCTCCCGGTTCCTCCTCCCCCCCTCTTCCTGACAGCCGCTCCCCCGCCTGCTCCCCCGGTACAGCCTCCCCCCCCTGGTCCAGCCCCGTCTGGTGTGTCTCAGGCTAGCCCTCCCCCTTCGGTAGCCCCCCCTGTACAGCCTCCCTCCCCACAGTCTTCCTCACCGCCTCCTGTAGGTGCTCCCTCTCGGGAGGTTGGTCCTGCGACTGTCCCTGTACAGGTCTCTGGTTCTGGGGGTGCTGGAGTTGGAGCTGAGCCGCGGGTTGCAGAGGACTCTTCTCTTCCGGGGGCTGGTACTGGTCGTGCGGAGTCTGGGGGTGCTGGTGCGGAGTCTGGGGGTGCTGCGTCTGGGGGTGAGGGTGTTCCTTCGGTTTCTGGAGAGCCTGGGTCTGGAGCTGGTGTTGGTGCTGCCTCTGGGGGTGGTGTGCTTGGTGCTTCGGAGGTCGACTCTGGGGCTGCCGCTGCCCCGGACACTACTCCTTCCCCCCACCCCTACCCGACCAGGTTCCAGGCTCGTGTTCGCCGTGCTCGTGAGGAGCAGCTGGAGTTGGAGAGAGAGGAGAGAGAGTTGCAGCGGCTCGAGGAGCAGGAGCGACAGCAGCAGGGGCAGCAGCCGCTGGAGCAGCAGCAGCCGCAGCAGCCGCAGCAGCAGCAGTTGCCGTCTCCTCCTCCTGTCTCGGGTCTTCGGACCCTTGGTCTCCCCTCTCCCTCTCCTTCCTCCTCCCCCTCTCCTCCCGTCTCTGGTCCTCCGCTTCCTCCTCCTGACCCCTCTCCCGCTGTTTTCCCTCGTTCTCAGTCTTCGTTGTCCCCTCCTCCTTCTCAGACTTGGGCCTCTCGTCGCTCCCCTCGTGCTCGTCCCTCGTCTCCTGTTCCCTTCACTGACCTTCGTACTGCCTTACTTCGTTCTAGTCCACCTCGTCCGTCTCCGTCTGTGCTTCCGTCTCCTCCTGAGTCGGCTCTCACTGCGTCGCTCCCTACTCCTGTCACTGACTACTACCGCACGTACCGTCCTCTTCTCTCTCGTGTTCTCGCCTCGCTTGTTACTCACCCTCGTGCCTCTGTGTCCTCTGTGTCCGCTCTTACTGCCGCAGTCACTGAGTTTGCCTCTACCCGCCGCCTTGACTTCGCCACCGCTCTTGTGGCTGCTCCTCCTTCCAGTCCTCTGGCCGTCGGGGGTGTGTCTGCCCTTGGCTGTGACGCCCTAGAGGACAGGCAGTTTGAGCTAGAGTTCCTGGCGGCCGCTTCCCCTCATCTCTGTGCCATGCTCCTCGCCCCTGAGGGTGACCCCGACGCCCTTGACATTCCGACTCCTCGCACTTACGCTGAGGCAGTGTCAGGGCCTTGGGCCTCTCAGTGGAGAGCTGCCATGGACGCAGAGATGGCCTTCTACAGATCCACAGGCACCTACGTCGATGAGGTTCCCCCTCCGGGGGCGAACGTAGTCGACGGCATGTGGATCTACAGGGTGAAGCGGCCACCGGGATCTCCTCCGGTCTTCAAGGCGCGCTACGTGGCTAGAGGTTTCAGTCAGCGCGAGGGAGTTGATTTCTTTCAGACCTTCGCGCCCACCCCGAAGATGACCACTCTTCGGGTGTTACTACACGTAGCAGCACAGAGAGACTACGAGCTACACTCTCTCGACTTCTCCACTGCTTTCCTTCAGGGCAGTCTTCACGAGGAGGTCTGGTTGCGTCGTCCCTCTGCCTTCACTGGCTCTTTCCCTCCTGGGACCCAGTGGAGGCTGAGGCGACCGGTTTACGGTCTTCGTCAGGCTCCTCGTGAGTGGCACGACACCCTGCGTTCTACCCTGTCTGACCTTGGGTTCCAGCCGTCTTCTGCTGACCCGTCGCTGTTCGTTCGTCGTGGCACCACACCTTTCTTTGTTCTGGTCTACGTTGACGACCTTGTTTTCGCCACCCCTGACAGGGTTGCTTTGGCACACGTGAAGTCCGAACTGCAGAAGAGACACACCTGCACTGATCTTGGTGAGCTGCGCCACTACCTTGGCCTGCAGATCACCAGGGACAGAGCTGCTCGCACCATTACACTTTCACAGTCGCACATGGTGCAGCAGGTCCTTCAGCGGTTCGGGCTTCAGCACTCCACAGTACAGCGCACACCTCTTGCTGTTGACCACAGACTCACTGGACCCTTTCCTGACGAGCCGTTCGAGCCTAGTGGTCCCTACGCAGAGCTTGTGGGTTGCCTCATGTACCTGATGACTTGTACTCGCCCGGACCTCGCCTTCCCTCTCAGCGTTCTTGCGCGCTTTGTTGCGCCAGGGAGACACCGTCCTGTTCACTGGACAGCAGCTGTGAGGGTGGCGAAGTACCTAGCGACGACGTCAGGCGTGGGGCTAGTTCTTGGAGGGCAGCAGTCTGTCGTACTTACTGGTCACTGTGACTCCTCTTACGCTGACGACGCTGAGACTCACAGGTCTACTCAGGGGTACTGTTTCAGCCTGGGTTCTGGAGCTGTTTCCTGGCGGTCCACGCGCTCCTCTTCGGTCTCGACCTCTACAGCTGAGGCTGAGATCTACGCTGGTGCCATGGCGGCACAGGAGCTGCGTTGGTTGACCTTCTTGCTCACCGACCTTGGTGAGCGGCCGAGCTCTGCACCGACCTTGTTCACTGACAACAAGGCGTCTATTCTCCTTTGTCGAGAGCCACGACTGGAGAGCAGAGTGAAGCACATTCACGTCAGGTACTTTCTTCTGCGAGAGTTGCAGAGGCGTGGACAGGCTCGCTTTGAGTTTGTGGAGTCCGAGGCCAACACTGCAGACATCTTCACCAAGGCGCTTCCGCCTTGTGACCACCAGAGGTGCTGTGTGCAGTTAGGCCTTGTTGACACTGGTTCTCGTGTTGCTTAGACTTGAGTGTACTGTTTACTTTGCTTTCTATATACCTCTGTTACTTCTTGGACTGGCCTTGTGGCCACTGTTGTTTGTGCTCAGACTGTGTGGTGACGTTGTGATCCACCCTGAGCTTCGTTTCTTGGACTGGTCTTGTGACCGTACTCGTTTGGTTCTGCTAGACACCCCTCACTTAGGCTATGGGGGTGTGTCAAATGTTGTAGCCTATAGTGAGGTTTGTCTTAGGGGGTACAAAACTTAGGGTTAGCTATATGTACCCCAACCAACATCAATGCATCATCCATTCTTCATTTTGACAATAATTGTGTTGTAAGCTCCCAATCTCTGATGTTGAAGTGCAAAAATAAATAAAAGATACCGGTACTGGTACTACACCAACGCTTTCTAATTGTTAAGGGGTACCATGCACAGAGCAGTGGTTGTCAAATTCAGTGAGGTGAGCACCAAAGAGGAAAACCTCGAGCTCCTCCCAGCTGCACGCATCGAACACCGTCCATGGCGGCACCACCAGCACAGGACTCACACCAGCACACCCCTCCACAATCCCCTTCCCCTCTCCCGCCACCCCTCGCTGCACGTGCAGCAGAGCCAGCGCCACCAGCGGCAAGCGGTGGACGCCGAAGGCCTGAATGACCCTGTCTAGACTGGATGCGCCTCCTGCCATCACCACTCCCACCTGCGCTCGCAGCAGCGGCAGTAGGTCTGTCGTGCTGTCCCCAATGAACAGCGAGGGAGGGAGGGTGGGTGACACAGGGTCGGATGGTGATGCTGCTGCTGCTGCTGCTGCTGCTGCCACATCTGAGCTTGGTACTGCTGATGCTGGTTCCCCTGCTAATGCTGGTTCCCCTGCTGATACTGCTGCACCTGATGATGCTGCTGCTGCTGGCGCTCCAGGGTCATGCTTTACGCTGGTGTGTGAGACTGCACCACGGGTGAGAGCACGGAAGACAACATCCTTATCCATGGCGCCCTGCACATGAAAGTCCACAGCACCGGTGGACACAGCATGCTCATCAAACTCCATCTCATTCGCTCTCACCACCACCCTGCTGCCCACTCCTGCTCCTCCCTCCACCCCCACACCACTGCATGCCTTCTCCCTGTTCTCTGTCTCCCCCACCTTTCCGTCTGCCATGTCTTCTTGTGTCCCGGCCTCTCTCCTCTCCCCCCCTACCATCCGCATGGCATGCCTCACAGCCTCCCCCACATACGCCCCACTCCAGCTCACAGATACCACCTGCACCACACCACCCTCCCCCTCCACTCTCCTCAGCACGCGCCCACACCCAGACCTAAAGCTCCCCCTCCCCTCGCCCACCCCCTCCCCCTCCGCCACGTCAGCAGCCTCCCTGGCCGCTGCCAGCATGGCGTCCCGGGGGATGCCCTGCAGGGCGGCGACAGCTGTCACGCGCTGATTGGCCGCGGCCTCGAAGGATGAGAGGCGGTGGAGGAAGGGGAGGAGGCTGGGGGGGAGGTGGGCAGTGACGCTGCCGGCGGTGCTGCTGCCGTCCCTGCTCTCATCCTCTCCCTGCTTCCTGCTGCTGCCATTTCTGCTGCTACTGCTGCTGCTGCTGCCGTTGTTGCTGCTGCTGCCGCTGTCCCCGTGGGCATGAGTGGGTGGCCGGGGTGGCAGGTGGGCGTGCATGAACTCAGAGTGGTCGCGCACATACCGCTGCACCAGGTCGTCCCACACCTGCTGCCTGCTGCTGCCCCATTCACCACTGCCATAACTGGCCCCACTGTCTCCACCAGGAGCAGCAGCATCAGCGGCGGCATGGGAGGGAGCAGAGTGCGCGAGGGCAAGGCGGGCGAGCAGCGCACTGGAATCATCCACCGTGCACGTGCCGTCAAAGTCCACTGCAAACACCACGCTCGCCGCGTTCCCCCCACTGCTGTCTAACCGTTGCGTTGACTCCTCGGTTGCCTGCCCACTACTGCGTGCCTCTCCTCCTCCCCCTGACGCGTCCTTGGCTACCTGAGCCTCTCTGCGGGCTGCCAGGGGGAGGAAGCCCGGCCAGGCAGGGAGGGAGAGTGAGGCGTCGGGCGCGTGTGGGTGCGGCAGTGGTGGTGGTGGGGAGGCAGGGAAGGGAGCGAGCTGGGCGTGGAAGAAGGATAGCTCCAGCTGCATGGCCCTGCTGTATACCCGTGATAGGTGCTGCTCTGCCACGTGCTGCTGCTGTAGCTTGTGGTGCTGCACTTCGGTCGGGGACGTGGGGTTGGAGGAGTGGTGCAGGGAGCGCAGGTGCAGCCCCCAGAGGCGGTCGAACGCTGACTCGAAGAGTGCTGCTGCTGCCTGCAGGAGGTAGCATGGGGAGGGAGACAAGTGAAAGCAGGATTCAGGTGTTACGTGGCATTGCATTGCTTATCATGTGCATTGCGTATCACATGGCTTGCAGTCACTTTTGAGAATTGTCAAAAGTGACTCCAGTATGGCAACACGAGCATGACAGCATTGCAGGCTCACCTCAAAGCCCTGGCACGAGTAGGTGTGCAGCCACTGGCCATACGGATGCCACCGCCATTCCTCCTCTGACACACCCACCCCACCCTCCAACCACCCCTCGCTGCTCCCTTCTCCTCCTCCCCTCGGCCCCCCTTCCGCTCCCCCGTCCGACCCCACAGCTGCAGCGTGCAAGCCCCAGGCAGCGCCACCCACAGTCTGCCCGATGGAGGCGTAGAGGCGCATGCACGGCAGCATGGCGGCCAGCACACACAGCGCGTGCCACCTCCGCGCTGCGGGGGATGAGCGGCCGCCAGCAGGCAGGCAGTCACCAGGCAGGCAGTCAGCAGGCTGTGGTGGGATCACCCCTGCGCTGCACCCGCCTTGCTCCCTTGGTAGTCCCAGCCCATGGGAGCCCCACACGCCCCTTGTCCCCGCCACCACGTTGGGAGCATGGTTGTCGTGATTCCTCTGCTCGCTTGCACGTTGCCCCGTGCTGCTCCCACCCTGCTCACTAGTCTTCCCGCCCTGCTCCCCTGGTGACCCCAGCCCATGGCAGTCCCACACGCCCCTCGTGCCCGCCACCACGTGTGAGAGGAACGACGTGTACTCTAGCGTGGCGGGCAGGGGGGCACTGTCCGCCGTGACGTCAGCGCTGATGTCAGCAGCCTGCGAGTCGTTGGACTCCTCGATCCATGCCTGCCACACATGGCGTGGTGTGGTGCAATGCGGTGTGGCGTGGTGCGGTGACGTGGATGTGGGGAGATTGAGGGAGAAGAGAAATGTTTGAAGAGATGTGGGGTTTCTTTGAGGACATGCACGGGTGCATACGGGTGGAGATGAACGTGCGCATGTATGTATGCGCGCATGCGTGAGTCGGTATCTGCATGTGAGCATGCATGGCAGCACAGCAGCAGTGAGCGAGGGCGTACCCACCTTGACAGTAGCAGCATGCATCTGCAGCTCCCCATCCGCTTCCCTCTGCAGTCGCTGCAGCACCGCCCGCACACTCAACTCCTCCTCCGCTTCCGCCGCCCCATCCTTTCCCTCCTCTCCCCCCGTGCCGTCCTCCTCGCCCCCATCCAGTAGAGACGCTGCCGCGCCGTACCTGCCCATTCCATGCCACCCCACGGCATACAGTGGCATGCATGCAGTCAAGGCAATGCGAGCCAGACATGGGAAGACAAGGCAACGAGTGAGACGCGTGCCAAGCAAGCAGCAAGCACGGCGAGAGCCGAATGAGAACCCACTGGTAGCTTCCAGGAACGGCCCACTCACGAGTACGTGACGTGTGAGTCAACTCTAATGCGAACTCACGACTGGGCGAAGGCGGAGAGGAAGAAGGCGTCCTGTCGCGATCAAAGAAGCCGCGGTGCACTCGCCATCGCTACGCGCTCTTGATGCTTGCCGTCTCATTTTCCAGGTCTATCCGTGACTAAGGCCCACTCACGACTGGGCGAACGCGGAGAGGAAGAAGGCGTCCTGCAGCGAGTAGCGCACGAAGCAGGGCGGCGCAGCACACTCGCCTTACATGGGCTTTCCCCTGCAATTTGACGTCTGACGTTTCCGGCCTCCCAGTGACCCAGACCCACTCACGACTGGGCGAACGCGGAGAGGAAGAATGCGTCCTGCAGCGAGTAGCGCACGAAGCGGCGCCGCGGCAGCGTGCCCGCGCCCAGCGCGAGCACGAACGGATGGTACGCCGCTGCCTGCGCCGCGCGCTGGCTGCGCGCGTCCCGCCACAGGCGGAGCGAGAGAGGCGCGCGGGGGGTTGGGGGCGGGGGAGGGGGAGAGCTGGGGGAGGGCGCGAGTGGAGCGGCGGGTTCGGGCGGCGGAGCGGAGGAGGGCAGCGGGGACGCGGCCATGGGCGGAAGGGGCGCGGATGGTTGGTGTGGAGATGGAGGGGAGGAGGAGGCTGACGTGGCTGGGCACTTGAATGACGTGGCTTGAAAGCCTGATGCTTTGGAGATCGGGGAATACGATCGGAGCGGCAAGCGTGGAATGCGGGATGCGCGGAGAGGGGAGGGCGCAAACGCGGATCCGCGGGAATGCGGGGCTGCGACTGCGCCCGCCTTTGCCGCCGGGAATGGCGCTGAAAGGAGCGTCGTGACGTGGCAGAGGAGGCGGCAGCAGCGCAGGCTCGCGGATACGCGCGATGCTACGACGCGCGCAGTTGCGGCGCGCGGAAACGGCAGACGCGCAGAGCGATGCATCGGCTGACACGAGGAGGATGGTCGATTTGTGGGAGGCGGGGAAGAGGGCTGCCGAGATCATCAATTGGGCAATTATAGCGAATTCGCGCCCCTCATACGCCCTACAAGCATGTCGGCCATCTCGTTAGACTACCGGTATGCTCGAGAACAGCTGTGACGAAAATGCCTGTAACATAACGTTATTACTTCGTGCTAGCAACACAAAGTGTAAAATTGATTTTATAAGAACAGAATCATCAGTGCATGCACGTGGAAAAGGACATTACTACCGGTGAAAAAGTTCTAGCAAAGGTCACGAGCCCGCTATATGAAAGCCCTCGACCTTCTTTATCACCTCCTCCGTTGCCCCCACCCTCACCACCCCACTCACTCCATTGCACTCCCCACCCTCCCCCTTCCCACCAGCACCACTGGCAGCATCAGCACCACTAGCAGTGCCATCAGCAGCACCACCAGCAGCAGCGCCAGCAGCACCATCAGCAGTGGCAGCGGTGTTGGGGGCAAGCTTCCAGATGCGGATGGTGCCGTCTTCTGAGCCCGATGCGTAGGAGAGCGCATCGGGGGCAAAGCGAATGCAGTGCACGGGGCCGTGATGGCCCTTGTGACACTCTGATGGGGGAGCGGGGGGCGGGGGGGGGGAAGAGGGGGGGAGGGAGGGGCAGGGGGAGAGGAAGGAGAGAAAGGGAAGTATGAGTTTGAGACAAATAAGCAAATGCAGTGCACGGGGCCATATCACCCTTGTGACACTCTGGAAGGGGGGGGGGAGGACAGGGGAGAGGGAGAGGGAGCCAGGGGAAAAAGGACGGTTTGAGTCTACATGAAAAAACGGATGCAGTGCATTGGTGTGGTCGCCCCTGTGTCACTCTGGGTGGGAGAGGGCATGCAATGGCATGGCATGGGGTGGCATGGCACACAATGGCATGGCATGGCATGGCACGGCACATGATAGCACTTACCTAGCTGTTGGCCTGTCTCATAGTCGAATACCCGCACCCACAGGTCCTCACCCCCCGCCACAAAAGCATGCTAGATGGCATGGCAGTGTGCCAACCACGGCACAAGATGGTTCGTAGCATGGCATGGCATGGCACATGACACCCCTTACCTAGCTGCTGGCCCGTCTCATAGTCGAATACCCGCACCCAGAGGTCCTCCCCGCCCGCCACAAACCTGCCGTGCACGCACACACAGGGGGGTTGGGACAGAGGCGGGCATTGGGGAGACGAGACGGGTCACAACACAGGTTCAAGAGATAGTGGAAGGAGTGACAGCGAGACAAGGGCAAGCACTGCATGAAGCATGGTGCATGCACATAAAAACATTTTGAATTGACTCGAAATGAATCAGGACATGTGAAGAGGAGGGGCGAGAGCAGGCTGGACAGGCAAGCAGAGAATGCGGGTGCCGGGAGGAGGGGTATTGCAGCAGTCGTATGCCTCACAGCACAGGACCGCACTGAACCGCACCGCACAGATCAGGGGTGGAACCAATATGAGACGCACCGATTAGTTGAGGGGATATATGATGCTGACTCAGCCTGATGTGGCAAGCGATGCGACTTGACCTCTTGCAGCCTGCAGCATGGGGTACCATGGTGGCATGATGGCAAGATGATGAGATGGTAAGATGGGATGGTAAGATGCGATGGCATGGTAGCTTGGAGACATGGAGGCACATTAAGTAGCAGCAGCAGGACCGGCAAAACATGGAGGGGTGAAGGGGAGGCGGATGGGAAACGAATGAGAGAGCCCAAGAGAGCAGTGGGGGCCTCTCTGGGGACTAAGAGATTTGCCTGCGTAAGCGTCAAGCTCTTGACGACGGAGTCACTTGGTAAAAAAAGTATTCGAAGAGTCTTTGGAGAGTGTTTGGAGAAAGATAGAGAAGCAGCCTGCGTGAGGATGAAGGGATCGTACGAATGGGCGTCGAATATCTTGACGGTGGAGCCATCAGCCGTGGTTATGAAGGCGCTGCCCCCTGCACCACCACCGGCGGCAGCAGGTGAGATGTCCATGCTGAGACAGGGGCCGTCCGTGGCCATCACTCCCACCACGTCCCTGCTGCGCGCATCAAACACCCTGGGGAGGAAGAGGGTGGGTGGGAGTGGGAGAGGGTGGTGAGAGGCGGTGGTGGGAGTGAAGCAGAGAGACTGAGGGCAGCAGAGAGATGGAGGGCAGTAGGCAGCAAGTCACACTTGGATGTTGGACACACACACTGGCTGCAGCCCACCACCCCAACCCAACTCAACTCAACCCAACCCAACTCAGCCCAACTCAACCCAACCAAGCCCAACCCAACAGAGCTCTAAACGACTCACTCCCCCCCTCTGCAGCTCACTTGACGCCCGCCACGTCATTGCAGGTGACGAGGATCCAGCGGTCGTCGTTGTGCCACCTGGCGCAGCGCACAGGCCCCGCCATGCCCTCCAGGGACAGCGTGGGACCCGCGTCGGGGCGAGCGAGGTCAAACACGCGCACCACCTTCTCCGCGCCCCCTGTCAACAGCTGTCGGGAGTCCTGATAGGCGCAAGTAACGTGGTCAGATTGAGGGAGAAAGGCGGGGAAGTGGAGCGGAAGGGGGATGCCAAGGGGATGGACGGGGGGGGAGATGGAGCGAGCAAGATGAAAGGCGTGCGTCAGCCGCATGTTTGAAGGCATGTTTGCGCACTCGCAGCGTCGGGGCGAGACAGGTCGAATACGCACACCGCCTTCTCTGCTCCCGTCAATAGCTGCCGCGAGTCCTGATAGGTGCAAGTAGCACGGCCAGATTGAGGGGAAGAGAGGGGGAGAGCGGACGGTGAGTACTGAGGGGATGGAAAGGGTGGGGAGATGGAGCGAGCGTGGTGAAAGGCGCGCGTCAGTCGCGGTGCACACAATGTGCTCTTGTACTCCAACCTGTGTGTTGATCCGACCCAGAGGTGCAGTCACTCACGGTAGGCCAGAGACGATGTGCGTGTGCTCGTTGATTGTACGGACCTGTGAGAAGTCGACGGTGCGCACGATGTGCTTGTGCTCCAGTTTGTGCTTCTCGTCGCCCGTCAACGCGTCCCAGATGCGCCTGTGGTGAGGGAGGGAACACAAGGAGACGCACGCATGCGGGACAGGGGAGTGGGTGGGGGAAAAGGTGCACGATGTGCTTGTGCTTCTCGTCGCCCGTCAACGCGTCCCAGATGCGCCTGGAGGGCGGGAGAGCGGAGGAAGACGCGGAGATGCGCGCATGGGGGGGGAGGGACGGCGGGGCGGAAACGAAGTGCGCATTGGGGGGAAGAAGAACGGGGAGGGGAGATGGATGAGGGGTAAGAACGCGGCAAGTATTGGCGGGGCCGGGCTTGCAAAGAGGGGGATAGGCGGGAGTCGGGGGAGGGATTGGAAGGGGGGAGAGAGGAGGGATGGGGAGTGGGGGGGGATGGGGAGTGAGGGAGGATGGGGAGTGAGGGGGGATGGGGAGTGAGGGGGGATGGGGAGTGAGGGGCGATGGGGAGTGAGGGGGGATGGGGAGTGAGGGGGGATGGGGAGTGAGGGGGGAACGGGCGGAGGAAATCCCGGTCTGTATGTGTGCAGTGGTGTGTCACGGCAGTCTCTACCGCTCTCGCTGCTGTCCGCCCAGCCCAAAGCCTCGATTCCGCTCCAAAATGCCCGCCCCGCCTCCCTCGCCCCCCTAGTTCCTCCTGCGCGGTGAAGTCGGCGGGGGCGGCGATCAGCGCATACCCTCCCAACCCCCAATTCTCCCCGCGCCATCCCCTGCCTCAACCCCCCTCCCCTCTTCCCCTAGTGTCCCCGTACGCGGTGAAGTCAGCGAAGGCGGTGGCGGCGACCAGCGCCCTACCCTCCCAATTCCGAATCCCCCGCCCCACCCGCGTCCCCCCACCACCCCTTCCCCGCAAGTTCCCCGTACGCGGTGAAGTCGGCGGAGGCGGTGCGGCGAGCAGCACCCTACCATCCCAATCCCCCCCCCTCCCTCCCCCTCCCCCCTGGTTCCCCCCATCGTACGCGGTGAAGTCGGCGGAGGCGGTGGCGGCGAGCAGCGCTCCACCATCCCAATCCCCAATCTCCGCCCCAACGTTCCCTCCCCCTCCCCCCTAGTGTTCCCCCCATCGTACGCGGTGAAGTCGGCGGAGGCGGTGGCGGAGACCAGCGCCCTACCATCCCAATCCCCCCCCTCCCCCTCCGCCCTGGTTCCCCCCCTCGTACGCGGTGAAGTCGGCGGAGGCGGTGGCGGCGAGCAGCGCGGGGCGGTCGAGGCACGCGCCCCACACGGCGCCCTTGTGCCCCTCGAACGTGCCGATCCAGTCGCCCGTCTCGCCGTTGCGGATCATCGGCTTCCCGTCTGCGCGCAACGGGGGGGGGGGGGGGGAGAGGGGAGGGGGGAGGGGGTGTGTGAGGAATTTCCGATAGAGCGGGGGGGTAGGGGAGTGGGAAGAAAGGGGTACATGAGGATCTCCAGTCTCTGCGAGCGGGTGCGGTTCCGGGGAAGGGTGTGGGGGCTTGGCGTCTGCGCGCGCGTGGAGAGAGGAGCGCCGGCGCAACGTGAAGGGGGGTGAATGACGACGGAGAAGCGAGGAAAGAGAGCGCGCGAGAACCTTTACTGGAGGAAAGGAGGCGCACGGACCATGGCGGGGCGAGAGGGGGAGGTGCGCGCACCTTTACTGGCGGAGATGAGGAAGAAGCCGTCGTCGGTGATGGGGCTGTACGCGATCTCCACGATCGGCCGCGAGTGCCCGTGGCACACCAGCGGCGCCTGCGCCGCCGCCGCCGCCGACGGCGCGAGCGACGACCCCGACCCCACGCGCTTGCGCTCCATGCTGCCCGACAGGTGCGACTGCGACGGCAGCGACATGCCGCTGCGACTGCTGCGATCGCCTCGCTCGTCGAAGCGCTCGTCGCCTTGCCTGCTCTGGTCGGTGTTCGACCTAACCGCGAGACTGCTTCCGCTGGTGATACGGCTGCCCGTTGCTTTCTGTGTTCACAAAGGTTCGAGGAATTTCGTGGAAGTGACAGGCGGTGCTGTCTAGATTATCGCGACGCGAAGCCAGCCGAATAGAATAAGACGCGTGCAGGGGTTCTCAATGCGTCAAGGGAACGAATCTGAATCTGATTGCGAATTTGATACGAAATCTGAATACGACCACATGGGAGACGCACGTCACATGATCCCGCAAAAACTGGGCCGCGCCGCACACTACTGCCCTAAGTACGATATTATATCTAAGACCTAACCTGCTTGGTTGGTAGCGACTCACGCGAAAGCTCAGGTTTTTGGTGTGGCAGAGCTGGCGGAACGAGTAGCGCGGGGAGCGGGTAGTGGGGACACGGGGGCATGTAGGTTGACCAAGCGGGCAGGGCTGGCGGAAGGCAGGCGGCTCTCGCGGGGGTTCGCTGGAACTGACGCGCGGAGTGAAGAGATCAGGGGAAGTGACGTGTCAAGGGTGTGGCATATGACTTTCGAATACATATGCTTGTAACGGGAATATGAGTGTAGGTTTCCATGAGCTTTAACACGGTATGGCTTGAAAAGATAAAACAATAGCTGATTCAAAGAAAGGACAATTCCTAGGCTTTGGTGTCCTTTTGAGCAACTCTTGCATTGTACATGCGCGGGGTTGTGAAACGACTAGAACTCGAATTCTCCATTGGCTTTGAAGAAAAGTATGTCGCGGCCATTTAGGCTCATAACTCCGTGCCGCAACAGACACTTCCACCGGTTCTTTTGGCGAGTCACCTGTATCAAGCCATGGCGCATGCACGCACAGCACGTCAAGCACATTCAGAAGAGAACAGCACACAGCAGTGGAGGTGCAACAACCAGATGTGAGATCAGTGTTACTGAATGTAGGAGCTAAGGAATCTAGAAGAACCTGCCAGGGATCCCACATTCCTCACTTCCATCCCCACCCTCCTTAGCCCCCTTCTCCCTTCCCCTCCCGATTCTCATCCCTCCTTCCCCCTCTTCACACACCCCCGTTTTCTCCCCCATCACACCTTCTCATAATTGGCAAGCACAATGTTCCCGTCCTGGCTCCCCTCCCCTCTCCCCACAGTCCACCCCCTGAATCCCCCTCCCTTTCCCCACTACCACCCTCCCCATGGCACCTTCTCATAGGTGGCGAGCACTATCTTGCCGTCCTGCCCCTCCTCGTCCGCGCCTATGACCCCCCGGCTCCCCCCAACCCTTCCCCTGAACCCCCTTCCCCAGGTGTACCTTCTCATAAGTGGCGAGCACGATGTTGCCATCCTGCCCCTCCTCGTCCGCGCCTATGACCCCCCGCCCATCGTCGTCATCATCATCGTCATCCTCCGCCCCCAGCGATTCGTCGTCGTCTGCTGGCCCCAACTCCTCCTCCTCTTCCTCCTCCTTGGCTGCACAACACACACACAACACACAGAACACGTGTGGGAAAGTCTTCAAAAGGATCACAAGGTTTGTGCCTATGACCCCCCGCCCATCATCATCATCATCCTCTGCTCCCAGCGACTCGTCACCATCTGCTGGCCCCAACTCTTCCTCCTCCCCCCCCTCCTTGGCTGCCCTCCCCAACCCACCCCACCCCGCCCCGCACAGCACGCATGGAGCGAACAAGTGGGATTGTTGATCAGGAGAGATCAGAAAGACGTCTGCGCTTGCTGTGGGTTGCAGTGGAGTGACGTGTCAAGGGTGTGGCACAGCTGTGGCCAATCGACACGCAACAAGTGGTTGAAAGGCACACGCTATGAGCTGGCAGTGTAACGACACAAGCCATGACCTGGCAGTATAACGACCGAATGCCCAAGGGAAAAGGATCAGTGAAACCAACCAGTGTCAGTGCGCGCTGCTGGATCGTTGTAATCCTCTTCCTCTTCCTCCTCCTCCGCTGCCTCCCCTGCCGCCCCTCCCTCCTCCTCTTCCTCTTCCTCTCCCTGTTACAGCAACCACATGGCCGGGCATAGAAGCGGGGAATGGGGCAAAGGTAAGATAACAAGGAAAAAACCCACACGTCACTGGTAGCTCAAGGCATTGCTTGCTGGAGTGGAAGAGAAAAGAGCAGGAATCGGAGAAAGGGGCAAGGAAGAGGGAGGGGTAGGGTGGAATGAGAGGCACGCACCTCGTCAGCGTCATCACCATCCTCCTCATCACCATGCCCATCCACCTGCCGCATACACCGCCTCTCCACCACCCACTGCCTCCCCCCCTTGCCTCCCCTCCCGCCCCTGCCGCCCCTGCCGCCCCTGCCGTTCCTGCCGCCCATGCTGCTACCACGTGCTTCCCGCCCCTCGGCCCTTCCAGCCTCGTGTTGCACCCGCCTTCCCAACCCATCCCGCCCCTCCGCTGCGCCTGCATCCCCCGACCCTCCCTCCACTCCCCCATCCGATCTCCTCCCCTCTCCACCCCCCTCCTCTCCCCGTCTTCCTCCTCCACCCCCCCCATGCTGACGCTCCAGCTGACTCAGCATGTCGTGGGCCCACTGGGAGGTGCCACGTGGCATGCTGTCACTGGCCCCGTCAGCCTGCGGAAAGGCGTATTCAGGAGTGAGGCGGGGTCTGCTGGTGTCCCCCCCGGCTGCATCCATCCCCGCGTCCTCCTCGCACCCGCCCGCCCCCTCCTCTGCTCGCTTGCGCTTCAGCTCTGCCGGCAGCAGACCCTGGCAACACACGCACACAGGTCACACACACACACACACAGGGGAGCTCGGGGAATCAGGACTAAGAATGAGGCACGTCAGACATAGCAGGCCCGGGTTGCAAAGGTTGATAGAGCACAGTGGACGCGGATGCACCATGAGGAAACAGGTGGGCACATACATCCCTGCGCTGGGGCTGGTAATGCCCCTGATGCATACCTTACACGAACACCCTTCCACCCCACCATGCAGCGACCCCACCCGCACATGCACATGCACATGCATAGATGCATGGATGTATGCACAAGAGAGTGCACAGATGCATGCTAGCAGAACACACACATACAGGCCAGGGCGTACCAGTGTGCGTTCGTCCGAGGCAGCAGCATCAGCGTACGTGTCCTCCTCAGGCACTGCACACACACACACAGTCGGTTACACGCGGAGCAAAAGAGGAGCAAAAGAGGTTGGGCGTGGCGTTTTTCAAACGTGGACGGACAAGCAGGCAGGCCGGCTATGTGTCCATGTGGGGCCGGACAGGAACGCTAACAAGGCAGCGTGGCAGCAGTATGACAGGCAGGCTGCAGGGCGGCGGGGCAGTGAGGCAGTGAAGCAGTGTCGCAGCGGCACTGACCGGCGTTCATGTCGACCATGAATGGCTTCTGCTCCCACGCCTCCTGGCGTGGCTGCCACGGGACACGCGGGGGAGGAGAATTGGATGGGTTGACATGTGCTCTGCCATTCAACTGAACGTGCACTGTGATGCGCGCATGTTCAATCTGGCACGTGGGTGGACGGATGGCATGCGCATGAATGGATAGCGCACGAATGGGTGGTGCATATGGCGTACCATGAAGGGCAGAGGGCGGCCGTCGAGACTGGATGTGACGTGCCCGCTAGAGTACTGCGGTGCAGCGGGTGAACAAGGGCGGGAGGGGACACGCACAGCAGGGGCGGAGTGAGAGGAGCGAAACGAGGGGCGCAGCAGAGGTGTGGTGTGAGCGAGGGGTGCATGCTGCTTGATGCGATGACACAGGGAGCAAAGCACCAAAAACAAATCCACACGATTTGAATGGCGTACGTGTAACCATACCACTGTACCACCATCAATACAGTCATTTTGAAGCCTGCAGTACCAGCCAAGTTCTTGATGTATATACCTTGATTCATATACCAGGCAGCTGCTGCCAGCTGCGGCCTTACAGATGCATGGGATGCTCCCAGCGATAGGGCCTGCTCGTCCTCCGCCTCTCCACCATCCCCGTTATAAGGCATGTTCAAATCATGCCCCGCGAACCCCCCTCCGTGTCCCGCGCCCTCGCCACCCTCCTCCTCCCCTCCGCCCTCCTCCGCCGCTGCTTCCGCCTCCGCGCCCCCTAGCGGCCCCTCCTCCGCCTCCCCCGCGCCTACATCCACCTCAGCGGCCGGCGGCGCAGGCGGCGGAAGCGCATACCCGCCGACGGGAACGACCGCGCCCGACTGCATGACCTTCGTCTCCCATAGCTGACCAGAAGGAGGGGGGGGGGGGGGGGGGGGGGGGGGGGGGGGGGGGGGGGGGGGGGATGCGGGAGAGGGAGAGGGGAAGCGCATACCCGCCCACGGGGGCGACCGCCCCCGACTGCATCACCTTCGTCTCCCATAGCTGACCAGAAGGAGGGCGGGGAGGGGGGGGGGGGGGAAGGGGTGGGGGTGCGGGCGAGGGAGAGGGGAAGCGACGGGATGGAAGTAGGGGAGGGGTTGCGGTGGGCGAAGAAGGGTGCGGTAACAGGTAAGTTAGCCGCCAGGGAACGCTTTGTACTGAAGTCAGGAAAGCGGGCCATAGGAAGGCAAAGCAAGGTCAGCGGCGTACATGCCGCGGCAGTGCCAAAACGGTGCCAAACAACTCTTGAGGCGCCTCAAAAGTCGGCGGCGTACATGCCGCGGTAGGGCCAACAACGGTGTCAAACAAGGGCGCGCTGAAGCAGCGCGCACCGGACGAGGGGAAACGGGAGCAGAGGCGATGGGGCTATAGGGGAACGGTAGCGCTAAAAGGGGAATCAACGCGCACTGATTAGCCGAACACTGCTCGAAAACAGGCTGTGTTGGCGCCGAACACTGCTCGAAAACAGGCTGTGTTGGCGAAGAACCGGTATCCAGCATGCACGCTGAACGGACGAGTCGTGGGAGATGGGAAATTTAACGCAGGAGCGACGGACCTGGTGCGAGCGACGGACCTACTGCGAGCGACGGACCTGCTGCGAGCGACGGACCTGCTGCGAGCGACGGACCTGCTGCGAGCGACGGACCTGGTGCAGGGGAGACGGACGCACCTGCTACAGAGGAGACAGACGCACCTGCTGCAGCTCTTGAAGGACGCTCTCGTCGACGCCGTCGCTCTGGAAGTCGGATCGCACGTTCTTAATGACGTCCTGGATGACGTGCAGGTAGATGTGCGTCACCGCCGACGACATGCTCGCCGCTCGCCGCTCGCCGCTCTATCCGGTAATCAGATCTCCGTCGCGGCTCTACAGTCAATCATAGTACTCCGATGCGACGCGATAATCAAACGCGTCGTTCAGCCATGAAATCGAAGATGCTGTCAGGAGGCCGTGGAATCAGGCAGAGTTTATTCCTGCTGTTCAGCTCAAGCCTGCGAACAGCAGGGGAAGCGCAAGCTCAGTTTCTTTCAAGTATGAGAATGACTGAAGCCGACTATGGAAGAATGGAATGGCGGGGAAAGGGTTTGAAGGCCATGGATGGGTGGAGAAGAGGAGGGGTGGGGTCACATATTTATGCGTGCTGCCCGTGATCGCTTCTGCCGTGAGGACCAATCGTATTGCGCCGTGTGGCCGTCACTGGTGTATGGGGTGTACAACGGCGTGCGAGTCGGAGCTGGGCCAATCGGCGGACAGCGACGCTTGAGCTGATCTCATGACCTTTCCGTGACTGAACGACAACTAACCAACTTGACAATCGCCGACTTGTCGTAACGTCGCACGGGGTTCGTAGTTCTTCGTAATCCACAGGCTCCACCTGTCGCATGTGGTTCCCCCTCAGCCCAATTCAACCCATCACTACCTGACTGTTGGAATCGTGAAACAAAATATATACTGTACTACCCAAATTCATACATTACGCTTTGCAGCCTTATCTCTTGCAGCTTCATCATCACCCATATGATGAAGGATCCGAACTTTGCCAACGTCAGTTTCGTCAAATATTCATTCTCTCGCCAGCTTCTCTTCCCCCCACCTCGAGGTTCCCAGTTTTCTTCCTTAATTTCAATTGAAAAGCTGCAAAATTTTCAGGTTGTGAGCACAAGAGAAAGAAACTCAAGCAAAGCACAGGTGTCTGTCATGTAAAGCAAGCACAAAGGACATCGTGAAATACTACACATTGTTCATCGAAGAAGCCTACTAGTAGGTACAAATAGAACGATAATATATATCGTACAAGTAATACACCATTCAGAGATTCAGTTTTGCTCCTGCTTCAACACCTTGATTGCACCTTCGCGTTGGATTGGAAGCACGACGCCCACTGCAAACGCTGGAGCCAGTGCCTTGGTCAACAGATTATCCATCAAATGTTCCGTTCTTATTGGTAGAAGGGTCACTTTCTGAGAGCCCACAGATGAATCCAGGGTGGCAGCACGAGAGCTGTACAATGTACATGCACTCCACACAGGGACCTCATGACAGCACAGCACACCCACGTGCACAAGCACGCGTGGAGACCTGCAGGCCATCCCTCAGATTTGATCTGTCACGGTCACAAATGGACTGGCCATTCAATGCTCAGGTGTACCCAATTCTGTTGATTCACCCCTTAATTCTCACCCATCCCACCCAAGGGGATTCACCCCTTCCTTCTCACCCATCCCACCCAAGGGGATTCACCCCTTCCTTCTCACCCATCCCACCCAAGGGGATTCACCCCTTCCTTCTCACCCATCCCACCCAAGGGGATTCACCCCTTCCTTCTCACCCATCCCACCCAAGGGGATTCACCCCTTCCTTCTCACCCATCCCACCCAAGGGGATTCACCCCTTCCTTCTCACCCATCCCACCCAAGGGGATTCACCCCTTCCTTCTCACCCATCCCACCCAAGGGGATTCACCCCTTCCTTCTCACCCATCCCACCCAAGGGGATTCACCCCTTCCTTCTCACCCATCCCACCCAAGGGGATTCACCCCTTCCTTCTCACCCATCCCACCCAAGGGGATTCACCCCTTCCTTCTCACCCATCCCACCCAAGGGGATTCACCCCTTCCTTCTCACCCATCCCACCCAAGGGGATTCACCCCTTCCTTCTCACTCCACTTACCCTTGGAGATTCAGGTCCCCATAATCGCCCCTTCCTCAACTCACCCTGAAATTTCACCCCCTCTTTCTCCTCACCCTCCCACTCCACTTACCCTGGGGAATTTAGGCTTTCACCATTACCCCTCACTTAACTCACCCGCCCAAGAGGTCTCAGCCCCCTCCCCCCTCATGCACCCACCCAAGGGGACTCAGGCCCCTTCCCTCTCACCCACCCAACCCAAGGGGACTCAGGTCCCTTCCCTCTCTCCCACCCAACCCAAGGAAAATCAGGCCCCTTCCCTCTCACCCACCCAACCCAAGGGGTCTCAGGCCCCTTCCCTCTCACCCACCCAACCCAAGGGGACTCAGGCCCCTACCCTCTCACCCACCCAACCCAAGGGAACTCAGGCCCCTTCCCTCTCACCCACCCAACCCAAGGGGGCTCAGGCCCCTTCCCTTTCACCCACCCAACCCAAGGGATCTCAGGCCCCTTCCCTCTCACCCACCCAACCCAAGGGGACTCAGGCCCCTTCCCTCTCACCCACCCAACCCAAGGGAACTCAGGCCCCTTCCCTCTCACCCACCCAACCCAAGGGGGCTCAGGCCCCTTCCCTCTCACCCACCCAACCCAAGGGATCTCAGGCCCCTTCCCTCTCACCCACCCAACCCAAGGGGGCTCAGGCCCCTTCCCTCTCACCCACCCAACCCAAGGGATCTCAGGCCCCTTCCCTCTCACCCACCCAACCCAAGGGGGCTCAGGCCCCTTCCCTCTCACCCACCCAAAACCAAGGGGACTCAGGCCCCTTCCCTCTCACCCACCCAACCCAAGGGAACTCAGGCCCCTTCCCTCTCACCCACCCAAAACCAAGGGGACTCAGGCCCCTTCCCTCTCACCCACCCAACCCAAGGGAACTCAGGCCCCTTCCCTCTCACCCACCCAACCCAAGGGGACTCAGGCCCCTTCCCTCTCACCCAGCCAACCCAAGGGGACTCAGGCCCCTTCCCTCTCACCCACCCACCCAGCCCATCCCGACACTCACCTGTCAGCAGTAGGAGCAGCAGAGAGCTCGCTTTCTTAAGGAAACAACACCCCCAGAGGCGGTGCCTTGCGGGGTGAGGTGTGGCAGTGGAAAATTGCTTCCAGCCCAAGACTCAAATTACACCCCTGACGTAGCCAGAGCTGACGCGAACCAGAGCCGCCGGCCGGTCGGCTCTGACGGTGTCCATTAGGCCTTGAACGCCAGATCGGTTACTTGAGCACCGAGTGCCGTGCCGCGCAGATTCCACCCACCACACCCCACCACCACAAGACACAACCCCAGGAGATGCTGCCCCTAAGGCAGTGAACTCCCCGCTTGCTCCCATGCTCCCCCACCCACCCACCCCACACTTCACCCCCATGCCTCCTTACCTCTACTTACCTGTACTTACCTGAGCCGTGCAGAGCGCCATGATGCTGAGGCTGCTGGGAAGGAGGGGGGGTAATTAGGAGGGGGGGGGGCAGGACTCCTCTGTGATCCAGGCAGGGTGCTGCTGGGAGTGAAGGGAGGGAGAACGAAGAGAGGAGGAGGTGAGTGAGAGGGTGGACTCCACTCTCCTTTCCAGTGCTCCCACTCTCAGCTGTAAGAAAGTCAAGGGGGGGATGGGGAAGAGAGAGAGGAGAGAATCGGACCTAATACCTTACCTCACCTGTTACTGTACCATACCTGATACCACACCTCCCCACAGCTTCAGCTAGCCTAGCCTGCCCCTAACCCCCCACCCCCACCGCTGCTACTGCTGCTGCCGCCGCTGCTTCTGCTGCTGCAACTGCTCCTGCCAGTCTGCTACTCTGCTTCCTCTTCTGCAATTTTCTCTTGTTGCCAAGTGACCTGGTAGCGGGCAGAAAGAGGGGAGGCGGCGGGGGGTGGGGAGGGACGGGAGAGGAGGGGCAGGAGGAGCGAGTAAGTTGGCATCAAGGAAACACTCAAGTAGACCGAAAAACACTAGAGTGGACAAAAACGAGAATGCAGAATTGAAGAGAGGGTAATGAGGCATCTGTAGCAGGGAGGGGAAAAGTGGCTCACCTTGTTCCAGACGACCCCATCCCGATACTCTCCCATTCCATCCCAGCCGAGTGGAGTGCTGCCCCCCTCCCCTCCCACCACTGCCACCTGCACGGCCACAGGGGAGGGGCGTGAGGGAGCGTCGGTGTTGACCCCACACCCCTCCCCGCCACCTGCAATGCGCACACACAGAGCTAGTCAGAGCGCGGTGGTGGGAGCAAGTCGAATGAATAACAGTGACTTGAAATCCAGCACAAGGGAAGGGAGGAGGAGCCACTGGTTGAGGCACGGCCACAAGCTGCAGACCCAAGGGCACCTGAAAAAAAACCTGAGGGGTGTACCTTCACATGAGAGGGTTACCTGCACCTGAAAGGGTTATCTGAAGAGTGGGGGTCTGTAGCATGTGAACTGTGCTCAACCAATGGCATTGTTTCAAAGGGAAAGACAAATGCACAACCGGCAAAGGAACTGGCAGCAAGAAAGCAACAAGCCATGATGTGGCGGGCAAGGGTGAGGGCATGGAAGTGGGTGACTTAGCTGATAGCGTGAGGGCGAGCTCAAGGCAGCTGCAGCACCACCAGCTGCCTCCCTCCGCAGCAGCCCTCCTCCAGGTGCCTCCTCCCTGCACGGCCACAGGGGAGGGGCGTGAGGGAGCGTCGGTGTTGACCCCACACCCCTCCCCGCCACCTGCAATGCGCACACACAGAGCTAGTCAGAGCGCAGTGGTGGGAGCAAGTTGAATGGGAAACTGTGACTTGAAATCCAGTGCAAGGGATGGGAGGACGAGCCACTGGTGGAGGCACGGCCACAAGCTGCAGACCCAAGGGCACCTGAAAAAAAACCTGAGGGGTGTACCTGCACCTGAAGGGGTTACCTGCACTGCACCTAAGGGGGTTACCTGAAGTGAAGGGGTCTGAGGAACGCAAATCGTGCTCAACCAGTGGCAGTGTTTCAAAGGGAAGGCGAATGCACAACCGGCAAAGGAACTGGCAGCAAGAAAGCAACAGTGTGAAAACGACAAGAGTGATTCAGTATGAGCAGTGAGCAGCAGGCAAGAGTGAGTCCAGGGAGGTGAGAGCACTTAGCTGGCAGCTGAAGAGCCGCCGAGAGATGCTGCCT